AAGAAATCTCCCAAAATAAGAGTAATTAATTATAAAAAATACTAATTCAATAGTCTACCAATAATAAAATATCTATTAAATATATTATAGGTTTATATTTATTACTTCTATTTACCCTACTAACCGTACTCTATACCGGCTATTCTATTGACCGAACTATCGATTAGTACGATCGTTATTAAAAATTATAAGAAATTGCCTTTAACGTTAGTAGATTAGCCTAATTAATAATTAAAATAAACGAGAAGATAACTACTAAAGCGGAAATTGAATAATTAATTAAAAAATATAATCGTTTTAATAGGGTATACCGACGTAATTTCCTACTAATACCCAAGAAGTACTATAATTTAAATAATTACGTACTTAATTAATAATTCAAAGAAATAGAGGAAACTCACCTCCAAAATCTATAAAGATATAAAAATATAGATTAAAGTAGACGAAGATATCCTCTATTCTAAATACAAATAAATCTTCGACTATATATAAATTTATATTTATAAGTTTAATAAAGATAAGATATTTAATAAAGTAAAAACGAAATTTATTATAAAAAGTAATTAATAAAAAAAGATAGGAGCTAATACGTACGCATTTACCTTCGTAGGTCGATTATTTTATACTATTATTACTTTCGCTATTCGCCTTAATTTTAAACTTATTTAATATAATATAATTAACGTTTTCATAAATACCTACTTTAATAAGGAGATTTATATACGTATATTATTAAAGAATCAAATACTTAGGAAGGTTCTTAAATTTATTAAGGCCCTATATAATTTCCAACGAATTCCTTTACTATAGTAACGAGAATTAAATAGGGTATTTAAATCGATAAAATTTAAAGTAATCCCCGAAGACCCGTATATTATAAAAAAAGATAGTATTTTTATATTATATTATATTAATAATATCGTTTTTACACTCGATAAAAGTAAAATAAAGGAGGTTAAGAAATATACAATAGAATTATAATTATAGTATTATTTAATAAGAGGAAATAAATTCCAATAATTTTTAAATATTGAAATTATATATAATCAAAACTAAAGAAAAATCTAATTATTTTAAAAAGTATATATCAATAAAATTACTAAACTATTTAAATTTAATTACCGCCTAACCCTAGTACCTATACGGTATAAGGAATTGGTTCCTTATAAAATTATTACTAACTACGTAGAGATACGAGCGTATTAAATTAATATAGGTTCTTTATTATATATAGTATTTAATATTCAGTTATATATTACGTTTTCGTTAAATAAATTGGCTAAATATAATTATAATCCTAATCCTACTCATTTAGCAGCGAATGAAAAGGTTATATAGTATTTAAAAATAATAAAGATATAGGTATTCTATTTTACCGGGAATAATAGATTTGAAATTGCTTTTAACGCTTCGTTTACTAAATAACAATAATCGTAAGAATTCCTAAGGATTTACAATTAAATATATAGTAGTTTAATTTATTAGAGAATACCGAAATAAATTACGGTTACTACGTCAATAATAGAAATAAAATTATATATAGTTCAGAAGGTAATTAAAGAAACCCTATTTATAAACTAATTAATATTGGCGTTAGGGGTAAATTTATTAGAGAATTCTATTCCTACTCTATATTATAATACTTAGTAAACTATCAGGGTACTTATAGGAAAAACGCTTACTTTTAATATAAAGATGAAGCACGTAAATATCTATAGATATTAATTAAGGGGAAAGATTTTCGAAAAAAAAACCTTCAATATCGAATATTTAGAAATAAAGTTAATACTAACAAATAGATTGATAAAGGCATTAGGTATTCTAAAATATAAGAAATTTAGGGAATTGTTAGAAATAATTGAAATATTATCGTAGGAAGACAGCAGAGGAAGAGATAATCTGGTATTAGGAGAGGTAAATTTCGATAATTTAGATAAAATATTAGGACTAGAGATATAAAATGATGAAAGTAATATATAAATAGCTTTACTTTTGACCTTAAAGAGGTAAAAGAAGTTTGTAAGTAAAGGGGTGTGTTAAATTCTAGGGTGGTATTCTAGCTAGATGTGGGCTAGATGCTAAAGTCCCAGCCACTTGATTTAACAGGTCTTGGCAAATATAGGATACCCCCAGAACCCCCATACCAGAGCGCTCGAGTCAGAACACACAAAATCAATCAATCACCAGTAAATCTGACACCAATGGACTTTTCTACCAGTCAGAGATGAAACGCGGTGGAAACTGTGTCCAAGGCCAAGACTTGTTCCCACACGGGCTGGTGATGGTCATCAGGGACCGGGCCGCCAGCAGTGCAGGAATTTTTTATTTTCGCCTCATCTGTCCCGTCAGGTCTTCTTTGCTGTCAGAGCCGTTCCTCTTCGGGTGACAGACGGTCAAAGTGTCTCGGGCTTGGTTGATCTTGCAGTATCAGCGACCGGAAACACGAAGCGGACCAACCAGAGCCTGGATATCGCCCACCAAACGTCCGAATCGAGTAACTGAGCATTTCTGGGGTCATGTCTGCCATGTCTGCCATCAATTGTGCAATCGATTCCAGTTTCTACAAAGACGTACCAACACATACCAAGAGACGCAAGTTCTCAGTTACCGGCCGCTGTAGACAACCCAAAATACCCGAGTTTCTATGACATGCCATAACATCACCGGTAAATGCGATCAGCGGCTGACACGACCCTTGGCTGACGTGACCAAACCTCCAAATTGACGGTCGGTTTGCCGGTCTGTTATATCGAATTTCTTGTACGGATTCCCCAGCCAGCAATACAAAAGAACCCTGACGTGGGAGCAGCAAGGGGTCACACACCGTTTGGACCCCTTTCTTCGCCCTTTGAGAGATCGCCTCCACGCCGTTGTCGGAGGATCTCTCTTGTCATCTGTAGATGGGCCAATCAAACCCCCCATTGGAAGACAAGATGACAACAAGATCAGCAACGGAGAAAGTTAGGTCAAAAAGTCAATTTCAACCAGCCAGCAGCCAGCCAGCCAGCCAGCCATCAAAAAATGATCATCCAAGACAACAAGCGCTGAAATGGAATGATCAAGCAGACCACTGAGAGACGACCGAGGGGCATTGATGAGGCGACGCCAAGCGATCCGAACGGTGCGGCCCAGAGTCCCGTCCCAAGAGAGGCTCATACTGTGGTAGTTGTTCACGTGCACCTGATCATTCGCACCGCAAGTTCTCCGCCTTCTCCAACAAGCAAGCAAAAGTCCGGGGAGCCGCTTGCAGCCGCCCCGAGCTAACCCTGTCTTGACTGGACTTGATGTGTTACCACTGTCGCTATGTAGTGTACCACAGTAGTGAACTGCTAGCGTAGCCTCATCTTTCTCCTTTCCCTCCCTTCGGTTCTCCTTTCCCCGCATATCATTTGGGGGAGAATCTCGACCAGGCTCAGCTTGCATAAAAAAAAAGGAGACGGCAACGTACTATGTAGGTATAAAATATGTGCCTGAGAGGGACAGGAAAGTACGAGCCGGATAAATCGACTGTGTGCCATGATAAACCGGCGGTGTTGGAACCCGTCTGACCAATGAGGAGGCCCATGCCATGAGTACCTACAACGTCTCAACCACCAGCGTTCAATGTTTCTTACGATGCGCCCAAGAAGAAGATAATGACAAGAGAGCCAGAGGGAGTAGGAGGCGAGGGCAGAAGGAACCATGAGGCGATGGCGGAAGAAACCATGAAGCGATGGCGGAAGACAGAATGAAGCGATGGCGGAAGATAGAATGAAGCGATGGCGGAAGATAGAATGAAGCGATGGCGGAAGATAGAATGAAGCGGTTCGTCTAGAAGTTTAAGTCCAAGAGCTGAAGGTTACGCCAAAGGGAGGCACCAAACTCACTACAGTAAATAGCCGCATCATACCGCCAATACCAGTACGGCGCGCCCGCGGCGATGCCAAATCATATCCACGCATGAATGTCAATTGAGCGCTTCGAAAAAGGTGGTTCTGAGTTCTCGTCGTTGTGGTTCGAAATAATGATTTTTGGTGAGGATTTGGTGATGGTTGTTGGCGCGCGAAGTTGATGCCAAACTTGGGGTCTTGGCTCGAGCTTGGCTGTCAGTTTGTATAGCCCCACACCGCCGGTTTATCATGGCACACAGTCGATTTATCCGGCTCGGGAAAGTACATCCATCCGGCCTGGGAATTTAGTGCTGTCATTGACAACCAAGCACACACCAAACAAGGTGGTAACGGTCATCATTGCACAACACCTCCAAGTCCCCAACACACGCACACACACACACAACATTTGCATTTTACATATTCGTGTGACCGTTCACCTTTTTCCATCTCCGCGGAGCCTGACGTCTGGCTTTCATACGTTCTTCATACTTTGCCATGTTGTCAAGTACTCACCAACGGACTTCTCCCTGGCACTGCTGCTGCGAAAAAACTAAGGTAAAAACCGAGAAATCTTCTCAGCACTCAGCAGTCAACACAACGTTGCTGACAGGCAGAACAAAAAAAGCCAGACGTCCAGACCGCTTCCCCAAGTTTACCCCAGGTTTTCGGGCACTTCCTAAAGTCTTGGCCAGATCATCGCTCCCCTTCGCTCCCCTCCCCTCCCGTCAGCCGTCAGCCGTCACCCGAACACTTTTCTAGCCAACGAGAGGACGCCAAAGCGCCATGGGGACAGGGGCTGTAAAAAGACAAAGAAAATGGGACAGGATGAACTTTCTTGGCTTGTGCGAGAATTTTCTAAACTCCTACTGCAACTGCAAGTGCAACTTGTCGACGTTTTCGCATATTTCGATGTGCTGAACAAGCAGTACGTGTACCCAAAATACCAAAGAAGTCTTTTAATGACAAATCAGAATCATCAGTCAATTGCGCCATTCAGCGTCGCCATTCCCTCCATGTGCCTGCCCGTGGTGAATGGTGACGAGAAAAAAGGAGGAGAATGAGACAAAATCCCCGGTGCCGTGCTGCGTGCAAGGGACCAATTCCAAGCGACCACTTTTCCACCAAACATTCCCGTCAGCCACTTCCCGACCAGGGCAGACCAGGGCGTGATAGAAGGATCAGGGGGACGAGCTGAGGCTCATGGGTTGGTTGACGACGTCCGTTAACGGATTCCCCTGCGAGGACCAGGAACCAAGACTTCAAAATCCCAAGTGGGGGGTTGAGGATATGTCTTGGAGGAATCTCGATCTTTGCCGGAATTCATGTTGAAGATTGAAGTAGACATGGACATTGGAAGAGCAGGAGATTGGGAGTCTATTGTGTGCCTGAAGCTGCAAGCCCTTCATTCCCGTCCCGTTCCCCTTCCCTTCCCTTCCTCACCCACCCTCTCTACTACCTCACGCTCTGCCTCTTATTGCACTTCAACACCTCTCGGATTCTAGGGTTGAACGTTGGGGGCGCCCTCGCGCAGCTTGGCCTCATGGCGGTGGACCATGTCATCATACGATGGATCCGCATCAGTCATGGCGTGGTTGTTTTCGTCCTGCTGATGGAGTTGGTTATAGCAGTCATTGACATTGATAGCGGTCGCCGCATCCTTGGCTATCTTCAACGCATGATCCTTGAAGAACGTGGCGACTTCGTTTTCGCCGGCCTCGAGGGCCATGTTCAAAGAGAACAGAACGCTCTGTTGATGAGTTAGCACTCGCGCCTAAGGCAATCAGAGATAATGTCTGACTTGCCTTTTGGTCAGTCTGTTTCAAAATGCTCTGCTCGGACGCCAGAGCATAGAGGCGTGCCGTCGCAATTTCGGCAATCGCACCTTTGAGCTTCTCTGCGTCCTCACTCTCCCTGTGTTTCTGCCACGCATATACACCGGCAAGGACCACAGCGCCGGCAGCGACAAGGAACTACTATGAGTTAGCTCTGGTTCGTTTGGATCTGGAAAACCAGTCTTACTATGTTCCACGAACAGGCGGCTTCGGCCGCTGCCACTCCGGCGACCTCAGCAGCCACGGCGGCTTCACCGGCAACGATGCTGCCGAGTTCGGCCTCCGTAGCAACCATCATGGTGGCTACCTCATCTCCCTCGATGAGCGTGGCAGCTTCAGCGAGCTCCGTGGTGCTAGCAATGCTCGTGAGTTCGATCCCATCTGCACGCATCGTCAGCAGTGCCCAGACTTAGTGCGAATTGTCAACTCTCACCAGCAGCAACCACTGGAAGGCGGTTGATTGCGAGATAATCTATGTCGCGTACACTGTGGTTAGTCCCCGCATGTCACATCGTTCCGAGGAGGAAAAGAGTCTCACTGTTGAACCATGACCGGGCCGTTAGAGCCGCCGTCTGAAAGAGTGGAATGGCCCCTTGCGCTGCGGGACGACGTCAGTAAAGGGTCGTGTGATCGGAGACAGCTGCTTACGTACTGATATACCATCCTGCCATGAACTTGGCAATCTCGGCCGGCTCAGTCAAGGCAGCCAGGCCCTGTGGCGGCTGAAGATCTTTGATGGCCTTCGTCTCTCATCAGTATGGCTGACATTTGACTTGACAGATCGTTGGCGATACGGACCTTTTGCACCTTCGCGGCTTCTTCCGGAGTCAGCTCCTTCTGAGCCTTTGCCAGCCATTCGTCCACCGATTTTACTCCCTTTGACTCCAGAAACTTCTGCAGATTGGCGTACGTCTTGGTAGCAAGTGCCTTGTACTCGTCGACATGCTGTTTAGCACTGTTCAAAGGGTCAATTGTGCGTCTCTTTAGAGGTACCCAAGAACGCTCTCAAGTCTCAACTGCTCACCTCTGAGTGATTGACTGAACATCAGTCACAAGACTCTTGGCCCTGTTCGAAAGTTCCTCGTTGCTCGGCATTTTGGGATGATTTTCCGGCTTCGACGCAGCTGTGCAATTGGCTGTTGTTCTCCCAAAAGATCCGCTTCAGTTCATTGAGGGCAAGCCTTCATTTAGGCATTCGAAGGCGACGACGACAAATGCCTGCTTCAAATAAAAGAACGAAACGAGCACCGCATCCATCGCAGTATCCCATACGTGCCTTCGGCCGCTAACCTTCTTGACCGATTTTGATATCATATGGGGCCATGTGCAAGACTCAGCCGCACAGCCAGCCATGTCACAGTGAACTTACCGGATTGGGCCACACACCCTCTGTTTTCCTGCGCTGAACTACAATATATCGATCGTACATGCCACCATCGTCGGTGCAGTCCGTTACAGATTAGGTGGTGGCCGCGCGAGAAACCCAGCTGATGACCACGTGCATGATCATCGCCGTTTACGGTCGTTTCAGCCAGCATGGTCATCGTGTCAATCGACAACTGAACCAACCAAATCTAAGCTTGTCAATTTCGGCAGCTCGATTTGCAGGACCTCGACTGATCTAGTCGACAGACTCCAACGTCGGTTGGACCCTCCATCAGATCTAGAACCGCGCGAAGCCTCATGCCAGTCGATCCTCGGTAACGTGCCAGTCAACTGCTACGATTCCACCTAGCAGGACATCCCTAGGGCATGGACATCTCGGAAGAAGACCTCGAAAGGAGTCGCCGATACAGCCAAGCTTGATCCAAGATATTGACAGAAAGCCCGTCTCGTGAAGGATCCCACCCACCCCAGAAACTCTGCATCAGCTAGCCGTTCAGCTAGCCATATCACAATCGGTTTACCGAATTCGTTCTATTGTATATCTAGCTCCTCCCACTATGCCTCCCACTCTTGGCGGCCGAAACACCTGTTTGATGTTCGAGCATCTAGCCTCCTCCTCTAGCCTACACGTTATGTGTTGAGTTCGGAAGTTGTTTGAGCCTAGAACTCTACAGGCCTCGATGTACCTGGGTCGTATGGTACGTAGACCCATCACATGCTTCATTGCAGACAATATTTACACTTTTTCAGCTGTGATTTCGACAACTACCCCTCATCGTTCAGCCAGCCTCACTACAACCCCCAACGTTATTGACCGACTTAGACGGGCTTCGCCGACAACATCATAACATTACTCTTCACACTGACAGAGGCTTTGGGCATTTAAAGACTCGAGGACAGTACGCCGATGTCGATATGCGCAACCATCACTGATTACTCCAATCATCAAGTATCAAGTCCCTCTACGAACTCAACTTTACAATCACCTAGAGGTACACATCGCATTTCAGTCAATTACAATGCCCGACAACGACGTCTGCAAATGCCCTACGTGCAAGGACAATGCCGACTGCCAGTGCAAGAAGGACCAGGCCACCTGCAAATGCCCCCATCGAAAGGGTAAACCTGAAGGACCCGAGATGGACAACAACGCTCGGATTAACCGCGTCAGGGCTCTGATCTCCGATGTGAATGCTTACCAGCTAGCGTGCGTTTTCCGCGATATTTCTTTCTTCAACGCACCGCTAACCTCGTCACAGCTCCCAGTCGCATCAGGCCACCTTCATGAGCATCTCGAATCAGGCCTATGGAGCACTTCAGGACTATCTCAAATCCAGGGGCATGAAGACGACTGATGAGCTCCTGAAAGAGGTCATCGCCGCACTGCCCCCCACCGAGCAGGAGAAAATCCGCGCTGTAAGTAGTGACATCCTGCGGCCACTTCATGACTACATGTTCCACTTGTTCGTTGCTGACCACTTCAATCCCAGCGGCTTCACGAACTGGAACCGAAAAAAGGCTTGGAATTCTTCACACAACCTTCGGAGCTTGCCAAATTACTGCTTTATGGATATCTCAGTTAGTTCATTGTCCACACTCGAGCGGGTGCGAATGAAGGAAGCTAATTTTCTACCCTCAGTGTCCGGCATCGCGAAAGTGGCCATGCCTTACTTCTACCAGGCCAAAGCATACTACCTTGGTACGTCTCGGCTGCTTCATTGATTCGAGAGACTTTGGAAACTAATATGGTCGTCTCAGCTTCTCGCTCCCAAATGCTCCTAGAGGCCACCAGGACCGGAAAAGGTTTGTTGTTTCTGTACCTATCATTCTGTTTCGTTATCAACACAACATGAGCAGCTTACATTTGCATATGCAGCCTTGAGCCAGGAAGGAAAGGCCCTGGCAGCTCTGGGCCAGGCAGACCGTGAGGCCCTTCTTGAAGGCCTTCAGGCGGAGCGACAAGCCCTGGGGACTGAGATTCTCGACGTTTCCATGATGGAGAAAGTGGGCATGAAGTTCAAAGACATTGCCGGTGTAGAGATGAGTGAGGCCGAGGCCGTGCTGCTCAACTCCAAGATTGAGCAAGCGGCGGCGGCGGTCGAGAAGGTGGGCTCGATGGAGGCTAAAGCCCTCGCTTCTGCTGCCAAGATTACGGTTTGGACCAAGGTGTTCATCGCCATCAATGTCGTGGCCATTGTTGTAAGTGATGAAATGGTTTTCTAATGTGTTCTCGTTCCTGTCTCGAGGAGGCACGCAAAGCTTACTAGAATCATCAGGGATTGCTTGTTTGGGATCATTACAAGGAGAAGCAGATCGCAGACGAGTTGCACGAGGCGATCGCAAAGGTCGCCACTGCTCGCCTCTATGCCCAAGTCGCAGAACGACAGGAAATGGTACACACCGATCAGATGGTAAGCGGCTCTCACTCATCCATTCCCCCTACCTCTAGCTGATTCAATTACAACACCGACAAACGTTGCGGGCAGGGCTAATGCATCAGTCTAGAGTTCGATCAACATGCTCTTGCAAGCGATCCAGAATGACAACAAGGCGGTCCAGGACTTCGTCAAGCAGAATTTTGCGGACACGGTCACCAGGGCTTTGACTGCGATCAGCGACGACAACACCTATGAGATGTTGGTTAAGGTGGATGCGGACAGCCAGGCCGATACGAGGGAGGATCCGTGTCTCTGTGAGATGAAGAAGAGAAAGCTCGAGGACGCTAAGAAGGCCTTGCCTTCGAGGCCGGTGAGTACCTAAGGTAACCAGCTGGTTGGCTCATGTCAGAACTCCGGTACAGATTGGACAAAGTCGGATAAAGTAGGTATTGAACAGGTATAACAAACAGAACGATACGGACAGTTAGTTGAGCAGCTCCCACAATCAAAAGATCAAATGGAACACATTGATACACCCCCTCATTTCCCTCATTCCCCCCTCCCCCTTTCTCCCTCCCCTCCCCATCAACAGTTCTACCTCTACGCATACGTCACCTGCATCCCACCGGGCAACTCACATGCTCTCGTCCAGGAGCTCCTCGACTGCGTCCAGCCCTTGTCTCCCTGTCAGAAAGGGACAACCATTGACCAAACGATTTTCTTCCCTTTTGTTGTCTCTCAGTACCTTATTTGAACCTAAAAGGGCCAAAGGGGGATGAATGGTACTCGGGCGTCGTTCCATTGGACCGTCTTTGCTCTCTTCCCGGCTGGTTTGGCTGGTTTGGCTAGAACACTTATGTCCCCGGCTCTCCAGCTGAGCCCAGGTGTCGATCAGGGGATGCGTAAGACTACCTTGGAGAAAAGAGTGTTGAAGCCATCACCATGTCTTGGCATTCTTGGCACAAGGTGGATACGATCCACACATGCTTACCCTGTATACATATAAGCTGGACTTTGTCCCTTTTCCCTTGTGGTCTTTCTCTCTCTCTTCAATCAATCAAGACATTTACCACCACTTTCGTCGTCTCTCATCTTCACTCGTGATCACCTCCTCCGTATGGTTCAATAAAGAGAAGCGATATCCTCACCGGTTGGTGATAATAGTACCTAGACAATGCTATATTACCTTTTCCCCTGAAATATGGGCATCCATCCCTCTTTTCCCTAGAGGTACCTACCCTACATACCTTCAATGCCGAATGCTCTTTATCATCCCGGTATCCCCGTGTCTGGAAGATTCTCGTCAGGATTTTTCTGACTCGTATAAGCCCGCGTTGCCAACCCAACGTAACATTTTGACGATGATCAGGGACAGTTGTAAGATCTCCCTAACGTCAACAGAGAGGGGAGGGGAAAGCAAATCGTCGATCAAGAACACGTGTACGGTATACGACAAGATATCCGCCATTTGACTACCTATACCCTTCCGTGGCATTTCTGCGTGCATGCAGGTACCGTACGCAGTAAAAAGTCAACCAACCTAACCCATTCAGCTGTAGAAGGTACAGTACCAGTTCGTGAACGGAAATAACTTTTCTGACAAAGGTTTCCAGGACTCCATGAAACTGTATACACAGTATTCTTGTATGGTTTTTCGTTACATAACATTTTTCTTGACCAACCGAAGTGAGGGGAAGGAAGGTTCGTATAGACATATTACTGCGTTGGTTCCTTCTCTTCGGCTCTTGGCGGGTAGTCTAGAGTCGAGGTGAATTAATTGTCTTTGTATAACATCAGAAAGATCTCCTCCAACTTGGCGGTCGTGGTTTGCAAGTATATATGTACCCATCCATGTCTTGAGGGCTAAAGTTCTTTTTGTTTATCTATCTCCATGTAGGCGAGGAACGGGGGAAACTAATAACGCCAAACCTACAATCAACGGCTTGCCGTATATCTGACTGATTGGAATAACACTGACAGGGACACACATATGCCTAGAGAAGGAAGGGATGCCGAAGAGTATAGTATGGTTCTTCAGGGTTTGCGAGGACGTGTTCAGGGACAAGCTTAGTACGTTGAGGTTCTGGATCACGAGTAATAAGTCTGATCAAAATTAAAATAGTAGTCATAGTAGTCATAGTAGAAAAGACTGAATGTATGTGCAAAGAAGAGACAATACAGTAAAAGCGTCCGGCCCATTTATAGCATAGCGTACAGCATACCTGGGACGAAACAAATCGATCGCCGTCAACCCACAAGTTACGATCCAAATATGCCGTTCGTTCGTTCATGATATCCATCAACGCCGTTTTATTCGCCATCCCTATTCGTGTCGGATCTCGCCCGATTTAAGTCATGTACTGTAATCATTTTCGAGTTGTCGTACTTTCGCAAGAAATATGTGCAGACACCGCTCGCCGCTATCTAGAACTAGGTCGCCGCGCTCGCGAGGCTCTTCACCTCCCCGAAGCGCGTAACCTCTTTTTGCAATCCTCACAATACCATTTCGCTGTTTTGTCACGTTCAGGTTAGCTTCAAGTGCGAACAATAGCAAAGAGCGGAACAAAGAACAATACTCACCATTCCCCTTGGGCGCCACCTTCAACCCCACACATTCCAAATGGAACCACTCCCTTGGACACCCCTCCCCATCACACGCCACCATCTCTCCATAGCTGACTCCGTTGCAGAAGCAGTACCTCTGCTCATCAGCGTCGACCTCATCGTCGTCATCCTCCTCCTCTTCCTCTTGTCGCTGTTGGTGCTGAGGTTGTTGCTGTTGAGCCCTGGCAGCAGCCGCGGCCGCAGCGGTACCTCTCCTTCCGTGACCGTGACCGTGGCCCGTCTCAGACTTTGCGTCGCGGTCACCGCCCCGATCTCTTTCCAAGGCTCTTTCGGCTTTGCTGTCGCGGTGGGCGGCACCACCCTTCCCTCGGCCGCTAGTGGTGGGTCGGCCGTTGTTCTCGTCGCTGGCGTCCTTCTTTTCGTCCGAAGCGGCAGCTGACTTGCCTGGCTTCTCATCTTGTAGGGCAGCGGGGACGACCATAGCTGACACCGAAGACGCGCCCTTCTTGTGGCTGCGCTTCGATGTCGTAGTCCCCGATGTGGTGGTGGTGCTATTACCAGAGGTATCCTTACCACTAGTGCCGTTGCTATCTTTGTCCGATTGATTAGTGTTATTCCTTGACGGCCGTGACCTCGCAGTCGTTGTGGTTGCATTGGCAGCCTCTGCGAAGGTACCCAACGCTGGTGTTGACGGCTTGCTCGCGCGACCGCTCTTGGTGGTTGTGACAGTAGTACTTATTGGCGGAGGTAGTATCGCTGTCTGTGTCACTATCGAATTTGATCTCTTCTTGGCTTCCGGCTCTTTGGCGGGGGCAATCGCTGCCTTGCTATTTTCTTTCTTGGCTGTGCCAGCATTGGATACTGGCTCTGGTGGGACAGGAGGCTTGATCTCTGTCTCCGGCTTCGCAGCCTCAGTCTTGGCAGGTGTAGAGACAGCTGGCTCGGCTTCCTTTTGTGCTTTCGCATCTAAAGTTGACTTGCTCTGTGCCACGGCTTCCACCACTGCTGGTGTGATCCCGTTGGGCTTGTTTGTGGCGGCGGTCGCAGGTCGTTGCTGTATAGGGAGGTTGGTAGACGCGGTAGAGTTCTGACGTGCGCGTGACGAGGCCGGACGAGGAGGAAGGGGCACGGGGGAGTTACGCCCGGCCTTGGTATCAGGGAGAGATCCCAGAAGGGGAGATGCCGCCACCGACGGTGAATTGGCGGCATTCGTCCTGCTGTAGCACAGGGGTTAGTATGACATGGCAAGGGAGACGAAACAGGATTGCTGTAAACATACCTCTTCTTTGCCTGTCCACTTCCTGACGGGAGCGCCTTGCGCTTCTTTGTAGTAGGTCCAGTTGTCGCGGCTCCATCGGGCGCTGGGGATTCTCGAGGAGTCGTTGTCTTGGTCTTGGCTGTTCCATTACCAAAGACACTGCTCATGGCACGTTCCATGGGGGCACCTCCATTGGTCTTGGGTTCCTTTTCGACCTTTCGTCTCTTGGATGGTCCAGCCCCATTAGTCGGGGTGCCATTGGCGATTCCGAGTCCGACGGGGGTAGCCTCGGCCTGGTGTTTCCTGGATTTGCCGGTCCCTGGGCCCTTCTTGGTGGTTTCCTGTGCTTTTGAATCTGCCTCTGGCTCAGTGGCCTGTCCCTTGTTATTCTTCTTGGCTGCCAACGCCTGTTTCCTGTCGCTGCTGCGCGCAGCGGCTTCTTCGGCTATTTGTTGGGCAGCGGCCGAGAGGGTAGCGGCACCTTCGCGTCGTGATCGCTCCGCTTCCTTGTGGTTTGTCTTGGGAACCCGGTTCTCGGCGTATGCCCAGTGTGCAGTGCTGCCCCATTTGGCCTCGTCGCTGAATTCATTCTCCAGATGTGGCCAAATCTCCTCAATGCGCGACAGCTGCTTGTTTAGGGCATCGTTCGCGGTGGATATGACGTGGTTCTTTTCCTCGAGGGAAACTAGCATTTCTTGTATCTTCCAGGCGGCCTGTCTGAACAGGTGCCGACGCGGTAGATTGGTAGGGTCGAAGACGGCAGCATGAGCCGAGTCGGTAATCGATGGTGGTACTGTGGCGGGGTTCGCGCTCGCGGCCGCCAGTCCGCTGGTGCTGTTCTGGGCACTCATTGGCGTCGAAGCTGGCGCAACGCTACTATTGCCATCGGTAATCGATCGGGTACGGTCTGGCACGGGAGCCTTGAGGGCGGCATCGACGAGCTCGAAGAGGGTAGCTTCGGGAGCGAAGATCTTGGCATCGACCTCCTTCAGGAGGGTGAAGTGGCGCACAAGCTCCTTTGGTAGGGCGGTAATGGCATCGGCGAAGTGGGTGACGGCGGGGAAGACGTCGATGGGCTGCTCTGGGGCAGGGCCGTTGGGGAACGAGTTGGTTCGATTGAGGGACGAGGTTCGTGTCGGGTTGATTCGCGTCTGTCGCACGGGTTGCGCTCTGCGATTCGAGCCAGGTGGCCCCGAGGGTGCCTCGGCCGCGGGAGGTTTGGCCGTCTTCATGGTCGGTAGAGGTCTGGTATCTGACGCGCGTGGGATGGACGATAAACAAGAGCTATTAGGTGGGAAGTAAAACAAGACAGGAAGAAGACGAGGGGTATTGAGCGTCAAAGCACACGAGTAGTTGCTCCCAATATTCGTGGCGGCGCTTCCAGGTCGTGTCCAAGGCGTCGGAGACACAAAAGAGTCAGGTAGCAGCAGTATGGCGGCGAAATTGTTGATTACTGCTGTGTCCAGGGTGTACGTCGGGTGGTTGGAAAAGAGGTGTCAGAACATGCCGCCGTGGGTATCTCGCCGAGTAAAAGGTGTGGCCGTCAACTAGTCCTGGGGAATTAGGACAGAAAAAGAGGAGGTTAGGGTGGCCGTGGTCGGGTGTGGTGGGTGTGTGTGTGGAAGAGAGACTTTCCACTTGGGACGCGGGCGGGAACTTCCACTGACAGTGTGCTCTCTCTTGCGCTGAAGCACCCTGGCACAACACAAAGTCAACCTCGCGGCACCCACCACCGACCCCCGACGAGAACCGCGACCGCAATCGCATCTCCAACTAACCCGAATGGAAGCTGCAGATCACCTCCAAAGGTACACAGGTACCACCGAGGCCTGCTGCCACTGTCATGTCACTGTCGATTTGGCGTCAATGGCGTGCTTTCTGACCTCTCCAAGCTCTCCTTCCTCTTCTGCCGGCTGGCAATGTTTCGTGTTCCCGAGGAGCCATGAGCTGAGCGCGGCCTCTCATTGGTTGACTCCAAATTTTCGAGACCTCCGATACAGTACGTCACTGGCAGACGAGGTTGCGATAAGATAAGGTCTGGTCTTATCGCGCCGCGCCATTGAGGTCGACCACTGAAGCAATTCGACGAGCTGCTTCTTCCCCTAAGAAATCGGGTTCGAGAAAATGATTCAAGGTAAATTTTATTGGTATTTGGACGCTTGTTTCGTTCTCTTGTGAATCTGTCTGTGAAAATGTCCCGGTCGCTCAATTTTTGTAGGCTTCATGTCCGTTATCGGGCGCATGCTCGAGCAGTCGCGGCGCATGATATGAATATGTTGATGCGGGTGATGTGAAAGACGCAAATGTAAACAGGTCAGAAGGCAAGTTATTTTTAGCACCCTTAACCTCTCAAGCCCTAACATATGCATGGAGGGTTTCTCTGCCCTGGATGATTCTATATGCTGCTGCTAAGGACTCTTTTCGCTCCAATGCCGTACATAACAATTGGGTATCAAGGCCGTTCAGGCCGTCTTGACCCGCTGTCGCGGCCTCTCCTCCATGGCCTTCTTCTTCTGCCGCCACTGCCACTCCAGCAAGACAGGGAGGAAATGCCACAGGTCAAACTCGGGCCAGAAACACTTGAGGAAAAACATTTGGGTATCTTGGTGGCATTGCCACAGCATAAAGTCGCTCAATCTCTCCACGCCACTAGTCCGCACAAACATGTCTAGAGGTGGACAGTCGGCCGTGTACAGGTGTTTATCGATCGTCTCGGTCGTGATGTTCTCGGCATTGGGGTATATGGTAACGTTGTTGGAGCTGTCCTTGGATGTACGGCCCGGGGATTCTGGGTATAGCGTCGTGGTGGACGACATGGAGTCTTCGTTGTCGTCCGACCCGGGTGGGGTGTGCGTCGGCTCTTGTCCTGAAGAGGAGTTGTCGCTTTCGCTCTTCTCGCTCCTATCTCCTTGCTTGGACATAATCTTCTGTGTAATGCGCGTTTGCGAGAAGGGTGTGCTCTTCGGGGCGGATGATTTCGAATACTCGTCGACCGTTGAACGGATGGCTGTCGTCATTTCCTCTCGCGATGTGTATGGGAAGCAAATGTTCAAGATACACCTATACGGGCTTGGTCAGCTAACTTGTCACCGGATTGCATAACGAGACATGCGTACTTCTTGTTGTTCTTGGTTGTGGAAACGGCACGGTCGATGACCTCGAGCACATCGTCGCTCAGTAGATCACGCTCGCCAAGTACGCGGACACTGGCGCCGTATCGCTCGAGTAGTTCTCCGTGCTGAATCAGTTGCTCCAGCTTGACCTTGGCCAGCTGCATCAGGCCATCGACCTCGTATTTTGGGCGGTTGAAGTTCTCGATGCTGAATGCGTACACTGTCACAACCTCGACACCGCACTTGTAGCATATCTCGAGGACCTGATACAATCACAGGTCAGTATGGCCCATTTCTCAGGGACCCCGCGTAGTAACGTACCCTCGCAAGTGCCTCGAAGCCGAGATGGTGGCCCTCGATAGTCTCGATCTTGTGGCTCCGAGCATACCTCCGATTACCGTCCATAACGAAAGCCACATGGCGAGGGATGGGACCCTGCTTCAAGGCGCCGATAAGGGTCTCGCGGAGTCCCTTGAGGGCCCATTCTGCCGGGGGCGAACTGAGGAACCAGTTACGAATGCGGGAGAGATAGAGATCGGACATGATGCCGAATTACCGCATACAAGGGCTGGGAGATGCAGCGATGCGAAGTGGCCGAGTCGATTTGAATATGGGAGGGGGTGGGTGAGAAGAGAGCGTGGAGACCCGAGGTTGGACGGGATCAGCCTCCAAGGGACTCGGAGTGGACTGAAAGTGGAAGTTTAAATTGAAGCTTCGAAGGAACTTTTTTTTTGGGGGACTCTAGCGCCGGATCATCGATGCGCACAACGGGTTTTTGATGGACAGCGAAAAGTTGGAGAAAAAGAGGACCGATATGCAATGAGCAGGATGCAAACGCAAAGCACGGCAATGTGTAAAAACGCACTTGTGCAGTGTTGAAGAGAGGGAGATAAGCACAGCTGTGGACGTCCAACATGAAATGAAGTCAGGTCAGGTAACTGTTGACTGACACTGACTACACTCACAGTGGTGAGAATGCCACTCCGAGGCTTTCCATTCGTTGTGGTCCTATCATTTCCCTCCATTTCCGCCGTGGTAGGTAGGGTTAACGTCCGCTCATGGGCCCACTTTTAATTCTCGGGACACATGTCATCGGCGGGTCTTGGCCATTCAGGAACCGTGACGGCCGGCGATAAAGGACGACGACAGCTTCCATTCAATTTCGACACTCTTCGCCGGGAACCTCACGTTTTTGAAACCTGAACACCACTGCCCTGAATGCCCGGTGCATATGGACAAGTGTTTCGGTCAACGAGTTTCCGAGAATTATAAACCTAAAAGTTCCTCATATGTGCATCTGATTGTCGCCATATCCCAGAGACGGGACATTCAAAAGGGGGAAAGCATCTACCCACGGTCTTCATCATGTCCTTCACCGACGCTCCAGTAACCAAGGCACTGGTCCTGGGCCTGGTTGGGCTCTCCATCGCCGCCAGCATCTTTGATATCAAGCACTACTTCTACATCTCAATCGGCACTCACTTCCTCCGCTACGGACAACTATGGCGCATCTTGACGTATCAGTTATGCTACACCAACTCATCCGAGGTCCTCTTCGGAGCCATGTCACTTTATCACATGAGAATGGTTGAGCGGTTTTGGGGATCCAGGAAATATGCCGTAAGTACCTTGATCCCCCTCAAGTCACAGTCATACTCACCACGGACAAAATAGTCTTTTATCCTCATAGCCGGACTCTTCACAGCCATAATCCCACCCATCTTCCTCACCGTCGTCCTGCGCCCCCTCTCCTTCGGCGCCCTTGACTACATACCCGCCGGGCCGACACCGATCCTCTTCGCCATCCTCGCGCAGTACCACGCCATGATCCCGCAAATCTACAAGTACAAGGTCGCCCTATCCGCCAGCCCGCCATCCAACGCCAGCGACGACACCAGCGGAGTCATCTTCTCGGACAAGTCGACGCGCTATCTCATGGCTTTGCAACTGGCCCTCTTTCAGTGGCCTGGCTCTCTCCTGGGTGCGGTGATTGGCTGGGTGGTGGGGTATTTATGGCGCAACGATCTCTTGCCTGCGGCGGTGGCTCACTGGAGGGTGCCTGGGTGGGTGGTTGGTCTTCGCGCTCAGAAGAGGAACGATAGGTTTGATGGAATTCGGAGGAGGTTGGAAGACGAGGGAGCTTCTACTGGAGTAGCTACGGGCGCGCAGCCGGCTGCTGAGGGCGAAGGTAATAGGAGGAGACCGTTGGGTCAGCAACTGATAGATGAGGTTAGAGGGGCGTTCTGAGGACGAGGGAAGTGGGAGTATCAGTTTGGACTTGTAACCAGATTCCCTCCGGTCCTATCCGCCAGGAAGCACTTCCAGTAATACATTGGTTCGTACTTAAGAGTTGTTGCTTTTTGATATTCGAGCCCCAAGCCGGTCATGCGGAATCCCACACTTCCACGCCAGGCAACGTAGGGTTCTGTAAGTCGAAAGCATCATTCACATATCTTTTCATTTCAGACATACACGGCGTATTCGTCGTATGGATGAAGACTTCTCACAGGCGTCAAGTTTTTAGCCTTCAGATGTGACCACGACATATCAGAGATCGAAGTGCTGAGGACTATTGTCAAATACAAAGATCTCATTAACTTTAATTGAATACCGGGCACCATTTGACGTTGATATGCATAGTACACGCAAGGGCAGACATTGGCCTCTTCACTCGACCTTCAGATAACCCGCTATCCGGTCCCTCTGTCAAGAAATAAAGATGCTTCTTTCTGAAACGCTCGGCTAACAGGTTCTCCGATCATTTCCACTTGTTCACTTCCGAGGACGTTGTTCATTTCAATGTGCCCATGTTGAAGAGAGGACCTCGATGGCCCAGGAAGGATTTAGACCGAAAGAGAACCCCACCCACCACGCAGGTACAGTCCAGCTTTAGCGCTAGCTTCACAGCGATTACAGGCTTGCGGTCACCAGTAAAAGTGGGGATGCTCTCGGGTCGGGTCCATGTCCATATAAAATTGGTTTCCCTTTCTGGATTAAGGCACTTTATCCATCTTCCCCCCTTGATTTTGTTGATTGATTTCGGTCTTGACCTCTTGATTCTTTTCTTCCCATTGCTGAGTCGTCTTTGAGCCCCTAAAGAAGGAGTCTCTCTTGGCAGCCCCGGACGGCAATTGAAAGGATCGGCGGTTAACTGGCACCCAAAACTCAAACACAGCTACAGTAACTAGACCCATCCCGCCTGGGCCGACCCGACCGACCGCTTTCATCCTGTTTGTCGCTTCCTCCTCCTGCTCCTCCAAGTCTCCAACTTCGATCCTCCCCTTGCATCGTGCATACAGGAGACGTACCCGGTGCCTGGACAACCGCATTGCAGTCGCATCTCGAATCTCCTCGCGACCGCGCAGAGACAACACGACATTGCATGGCGCCGCCATAGTCCGCACGACACGACCGACCGTTCTCTGTTTCGCCTTTCCACGCTCATTCGCCCTTTTTGTATAATGTCTTGGACGACCTAGTTGTACTTTGAACGCAGACCGAACCAGCGCCAGACTACAATCGCTCTCTCTTGAATACCTAATACGACGACACCTCGGGCGCATACACAGCTATCTACCTACTACACCTAAACCTAATACATCATAATCATGAATGGAGCCACGACTAGGGAAGGGGCGCCCCCTCCCCTCCATGCCCTGGGGAGGTCTATGACCGACGGGTTCGACAAGCCGCGGTATACTCCCGTAAGAACGACCCAATTGACCGGATAGGAATCTTCAAGTGATTCGAGGCTGGGGCTCAGGCTAACACAAGTGCTTCGCCTACAGGTCAATCCCGCCGACCGGCCCCGGATCTCTGCGCTTGTCGACCTAGACGACCCTATTCAAATCCACCTCTTGATGGAAACAGCTTTGAGTGACAGCAAGCAATGGGAGATTCTGTCCCAAGAAGAGGTGGACGACCTCAAGAAACAAACCCACTCCCTGACGATACGCATCGACCAAGCCCGCGCCAACCTCGCTATCCAGACAAAGTACCGCGATGCCGCCGTATCCATGGCCCGATTATATAACCCGGGACACAGGAGACATAGCTCCCGTGAGGAAATCGGTGCTGCGAGAGAGGCCGAGGTGGAGAAACAAAACAGCGAGCGCCTTTGCAATGAGCTTTCGTCTGAGCTTGCCATGCTCGAGAACCACCTGTTTGACTCCCAACGCCGCCTACTACAACATACCGCCGCCATCCTGCAGTTGACACACGGAGCTAGAAGGAGGAACGCGCAAACACCCAATGGCCAGGTCTTTGGAAACTCGATGATGGTTAATGGCATGCCCGAGAGCCCCGAAAGTCTCTACACCTACACCAATTCGCGGGATAGTATCAGCATGGAACCCATTGGTGGTGATGATGGATTTGACTGGCGGACATTACACCCCTCAGAAGGAGCACCTGAGAGGTCGGTGACCCCTGTTCCTACTGCGGCGCCAACTTTGACGAACCTCGAAATCCCACCAAAGTCGCCAATCCGTGAGCAGGCCAGCCAGTTGCGGGAGGAGATGGAGCGGGTCAAGGAGGAGAACGAGAGGCTCAAGGCGGCGGAGCAGAAACTCAGGGAGACTGAAAACCAGCTCAGGGCCGGACAGCAGGAACTCTCGGCCGAGAATGACGCTATTCGTACGGAGATCAATGGCCAGATTAGGTTGTTCGCGGAAACCGAGCAAAGGCTGGAGATCTTGAATCATAAGCTGAGGGACGTGATCACGGAGATCAACCCGTCCGCCGACGCTAACCTTGATGATCCTGAGCCCGCCGCTGGAAACGGCCAAACCCTTCCTGTCCAGCTTAATTACCTTGAGCGTGGTCTTGACATGGCCATGCACGAGCAGCAACTGAGATCTGCAGCTATCAACAGGGACCTGGAGCTTGCCGGTGATGCCTCGGCGGCCACCCTCTCCCAAGCCGAAAAGCGCATCGAAGCTCTGAATAGGCGTGCCCACACCTTCCTGGCGCAGACCATTCCCGACATCAACACAGCTGCTCCTCCCACGGTCTCTGAAGGATCTATGGACGAGCAGCTCGACTACCTCGAGACCATCCTACGCACCCTCAGAGTCGAGATGGGCCGCGCACAAGGCTCGACAGCTAACAACAACAATGCCAACAGATCCAACAGCGAGCAAGTCGAAGCCGTCCTCATGGGTCTGTGGGATATTATCCACACCGGCTATGCAGAGATTCAGCGCCAGAAGGCTGCTCGTCGCCAGAAGCGCATGGAGATGAATCTGGCCGTCGACGAGGAGGACGAAGAATACCTCTCCGGCAGCGACGAAGCCATCGATCCTAACGAGCAATACTCCCTCCAGGGCTTCTCCGCCAAGGTGCAATGGCTCTACGCCCAAGCCACCAGTCTCAAGGAGCAAAAGGCTGTGCTGCAAAGACAAATCAAGCAACAGCGCGAGCTCAACAACAAGAGCGGGTCAGAGAAGGATGCCGAGCTCCGCGCCAAAATGGAAGAACTCGAGAACATGCGCGGCCTCATCGACGCTGCCGAGGCCCGCGTCCTCGAAGCAAAGGATAAGATGGAGAACGCCCTCGAGCAAATGGAGACCATGCAGCGCACGACCGCCGAGCGCGAAGAGGCCGCCGTGGCGCGCGGCGCGCAGCAGACGCAGGATAAGCTCATGGAGCGCAACGCCGTCATCGCCAACCTCGAGAGCAAGTTCAACGATGTCTCCACTCGCCTGGCCGAGACGGAAGCGGACGTGGTCGATCTGCAGTTTCAGCTCCAGCAGTCCGCCAAGGCCAAGGCAGCCGCTGAGAAGTCGCAGAAGGACGCCGAGGACGTCGCCGCAGGTCTGCGCAAGCAACTCAAAGACAAGGACGAAGAGCTCGAGGCCATGAACATGATGCTCGTCGAGATCAAGATGGAAATGACCATGGCCAAGGCCGAGCTAGACGGGGCTTACGGCTCGCGCTCCGAGCGCGCCGCTCAGGCAGCGGCCATCAGCAACAAGAGCGAGCTGGCCGATCTGCAGGCGCAGGTGGCCAAGCTGAAGATGGAGCTGGAGAGCACGCTCAGGGACTTTGAGGCCATCACCAAGGAATCGATCGCGGCCGAGAAGGAGAAGTTGGATCTGGAGCATAAGCTGGATGACGCGCTGCAGGCCAAGGAGTCGCTGGAGAGCGAAGTGGCGGAGCTGAGGGAGAAGATGGAGAGGGAGATCAGCAGGCTCAAGGAGGAACTGGATAAGGAGCGTCTGAGACCGCCGCCTAGTCCGGCGCTGAGCGCGGCGGGTAGTGCTGCCGGCGGGCTGTTGAGTCCGAGGATGGGCGCGACGATGCTCAGTGAGCAGTTTAGGGCGACGATGAAGGAGGAGAGGAAGAGGTTTAATGAGGAGATGAAGGTGAGTTTCTCCGTTTGTCTATTTCTCTCATTCCAGTCAGTAAATGGGTACTAACTACTTCACAGGAGGAACTAGCCAAACGTCGTAAGCTGGAGGAGGAGCTGCGTGCCTTGAGGAGGACAGCAGCCGGTGGTCTAAGTCCGGGGTTGAAGAGTCCGCTGGTTGATGCCGGGGCACTTAGTCCTAGGTCATGATAGATAGATTGAGTCCTTGAGGGGCTGGATCTTGTTTATAACAATTCTGAACCTGAGGAAACCTACTCGCCGATTTTGCGAGCGGTCGGTCCTCCATTTTTGCATCATTCACATCAACAACTTTCGATTTGCATTGCATGGACGGACGGATGGATTGCGGATGCCTGCCTGGATTGAATGACGCATGCAAGGGGATCATCATCATCACCACCATTATCAAACTTCATATTCACTTCAATGTGACTTACCTTCCGTTCATTTTCTTCTCTTATACCATCTACTTTACTTGTAGCATTTGCGAGCGAGCGCCCTACAAACCAGAGAGAGCTAGCGGGGAATGGATGGGATTTACACCCCAACAAAAATGGATAGGATAGATGAATCGGCGGTGTTGCTAGATGAACTCACTGCTCACGTCTTTTACGTACAGTAGTACACTCCGTACCCTACACTACTACGTAATCGCTGCGTGTGTTGCAGCCATGCGATATTCCAACTGCCCTGATCCTTGGTGCAAGCTTTCGCAGTACGAGTACGAGTGCGTGTTGATAGATACTAGCTGCAATTTTCTACATCTCCCCCACTCCCACTCCCACTCGTTATAGAGGACCTCACCTCCTCGCATTCTTCTCCTTGATGTTCTCGGTCTTTTCATGCTCTCTTTTGTGTAGCCGGCCGGGTGTTGAGCAGGGGACTGAAGGTTTCTATATATATATAAATAATTTTTTTTTTTTTTTTTTTTTTTGTTGGGAACATTTTCGGTTTGATGAATGAATTCGGGCTTTGCTTGCCGGGGGGCTGGCTGGCTGGTGCGAGGGGGGTGGTTGGATTGGATTGGATGCTATAAAGGACCGACGTAAGCGTCGGTTGAGTTGTAAGGTGTTCGAACTTGCGTAGGTATGATATTTTCCTTGCTCCCGTCCTTGTTTCCTGTCTTTGTCTCAAAGGTGAGTGGGTGGGTGGGTGTTGGGAATATGACATACATACCAAGTACGTGTCTGGTGTTGGAAACCCGTCCGTGCCTTGAGCTTTTTTCTGGCTTCGTCTTTTTTGGTATATGTAACTGGGGTGTTGAAGATTGGTTGGTGTGTGATACTCTGACGTTCTGCTATGTGAGCAGCTCGGGGTTTGAACATTGACTAGAAATGCCTTGGGGGAGTGGGTGAGTGGTTTGGGTACGCATGATAAAATTGGAATCACAATCGCAATGTATGTTTATTGCACTTGTTGAGCTGGGCAAAGATTCGACTTCGGACTGCCCACTGTACCAGACAGGAAAGAAGGTGGGGGGGGGGAGTAAGTTGGGTTGGTAACGCCAACGGCAACTACACCATTTGGGAGACATCTAATCATGATTTTACTGGTTTCATCTATCGTTGTGCCTGGGAAAGGTTATTATAAAACTGTGATAAGGACCACGATAATTTAGAAACACACCGGCCAGACCCTATTAGGGATTCCTCCATCCAGGAACTGCCCCTAGAGGTTGGTTTCAAAGGTATTATGATGCGTGCGAGAGTATTCCGAAGGTGTGAAGTATTGGACCGTGATGTGTTCGGTTTATTCTGGCGACCACTCAAATGGTTGTTCTGTCGTCAAGTGGACATCATGATGGGGGAAGGTACAAACACGGTCTCGGCTGAAAAAGCGAATAGTGCAGTTGCCGTTTGATAGAACCCGCCACTTCCGGTACGGGAGTTTTATCCGTCAGTCACTTGGCATAGGTCTGTTCGAACTGAAGGAGGAGACTGTAGTATGGATGAGTGAGATTCTTGGGGAAGGTAAGAACGAGAGAGGAGTTAGAAATATTGTGATTTAGCAACGTGGTAATTGAAGTAGGTGCGATGAGAGGGAGCACACTTCAACGAGCGCTCTTGCCCTCTATGACCACCTCCATACCAGTACCAGCTGCTCCTTTTCCTTCTTCCCCCTTTTTCCTCCCCTTGACAATAACTTTCTCACCTCCGCCTTAAACTCACTGCCGTTATCCTTCTCTACCTGCTTTCATTGCCGCCCTTTTCTTTGCTCCAATACAGATAACAATCCTTCTGCCCATTGTCAAGGATTACAAGCCTTCCCGTCTCTTGCACTTTCCCACTATGATATCCATTGATGCGGCCCGCTCGCGGGCGCATGCTCATCTTTTTCTTCCTGCCCTTTCACGCATCAGATGTTTTGACATGGGCGCTTTTCTTTTGCATGGATAGTCATACGGTCCTTTCTGACTGCCTACAGCACATTGTTTTGATCCCAAATTCAAAGCTCACACCTTTTGGCGGCGAAAGTACAATTTAAAAATAACGTTAATTATCCAAACACGAGGTGTCCCCAACAATGGTCCTTCCAATGGTCTTATGAAACTCTTCCGAACGCAAAAGCTTTCAATGACTTCTCAAAGCGCGCCAAAGCTCTTGTGAGTTATCTCGGAACGCTCATTGCTCTAGACTTTCAATATCGAGTTGGACTCTTCATTGTCGCAAGATGAACGAATACATCATCGAGGCAGCTCTTTCGAGCTCGTCGTTTTGACATAAAAGGCCGTACCGACAGAGATAAGGATGCATCTAGCATACTCATCATCATCACCATTACCATCATCAGCATCACATTTATCAACAACACGTTCATAAGCACCCCAGTTACCAAACAGACAAAGCCGGCCAAAAAGCTCAAAGTTTCCAACCTTATATCCTAGGAGACCACCCACAACCCGTCACCTCCAGTGCCAGTTCCGTTCATTCCTATCCCGCCAGTCGGCTAGTCAGGCAGCCGTCATCACCCGTCCACTCACCGACAAACCCACCCGTACCAGCAAAGAATCAACATGTGCAAGAAAGACATAGAGGTCTACCCTTGCTCCTCTCCCAACTGCCAAACCAAGAGTGACAAAGACCGAGTCTATGAAGAAAAATGTGCGAAAGTGCGATTTAGAAACTTGCTTTTGGGCGCGTGCGGAAACGTTAAAGTAACCACGAGGCCCATCATCACGCACTCTCAATGCCTCCCCTGCACCAGAGCTCGCCCGAGTCGGCGATAGGTATCTTCCCAATCCTATATCTTAGGAGATCACCCCGAGCCTTTCACCTCCAGTGCCAGTTCAGTTCATTCCTGCACCGCCAGTTAGCCAGCCAGCCTTCATCACCCGTCCACTCGCCGACTAACTCACCCCGTGCCAGCAAAGAATCAAGATGTGCACAAGGGATATCGAGATCTACCCTTGCTCGACCAGGTATTGTCCAAACAAAAGCCAGGACGACCGAGTCGAATATAGAAAATGTGCCTACGCGGTCAATAATAGGAGGGCCTGGAGCCAGTGCGGCACCCAGTGTCGAGAGACTAGGAGGGTCATCAACACGCACTCTCTCTGTCCAGCCTGCACACTTCTTGCGCGACTGGACGATACTGGAGCGCAGGGAAAGAGAGCTAAACGGAATAGACCAAGAAAGTCGTAGATAGGTATGTTATCCATTTCAAGTGTGAAAAGGAGTTTTGCCTCGGAGATCAGGAGTGTTGGACATGATGGTTGCTAGGGAAGTTTGAGTGTTTCTGGGTTGGGCACCGGTCTGGGGTATTGTAGTTGAGGCTGCTGGACAGTCGTGGTACTCGTTGCCACTCCTTGTCGAAATGAGAGTGAGCTGTGCGACTGGGTAATCAGGGAACGTGGATACCGTAGCGTTGGTTGCTAGCAAACTTTGGGGGTTGTTTTCTGAGATGGGATTTGGGGCTGCTGGACAGTCTTGTTCGTCACTCGTTTGTAACTGGGCGTAATAGGACTTGAATATTGTTAAAGTTGCTCGCTTCTTCTCATGATTCTTATGAGTACTGACTGACTTACTATCTCTTTTTCGTCACAGTGGGTGTATATGTTGTCCATTCAGGTATTGAGTCGTGTGACGTCAAATTTCCTTATCTGAGTAGTAGTTGAAGGGAGATCCAAAGACAGACTTGGAGTTTCGTTTCATGTGTCACCTATGAGCCCCGAACCTGAAAGAGACTGGATTGGATGGGTGGATGGGTGAGGATGCTGGTTGGGAACGGAAGGAAAGTGCCAGTCGAAGTAGGTGCGATAATAAGGAGCCCACTTCAACGGGCGCTCTTGCCCTCCATGTGCCCTTGAGTCGTCCCCCACCAGTGCCAGCTGTTCTCTTTTCCCAAATCTCCCGTCGCTTTTCCACTCGCCCATCTCTGTCCTGAACTCACAACCGTTATCTGTTGCTACCCCCTTTCTCTCGCCCTTCTCTCTGCCTTTCCTTGGGCCCATGCTTCGGTTTGCCATTCTCTGGTCAGATACGATTTCCACTCCCCCTTCAACATATTCGCACAGTCTCTTCGGCCTCAGTACTGTGGAAGAAAAGAGATTGCGGATTTGTTTCGGCTCGGTGAGCAATCCAGGCCCCCACTCTTCTGTAAATCACTCCTAAGCTTCCTTTGGTGGCAAGCTGATTGGGCTCAGGCATCAAGACCAGTCCAACATGTTGAAAAGAAATCATATAGTCCTCCCATGTCACTACCAGCAGCAGAAGCACAGGCTCGCCCCCTCTCGGGGTTTCATCCCAACTCACCATGACCGCGTCTGATGAACCATATTGGTCGTCCAGCTGGACTCGATACGCCGACGGGAGCTGAAAGTTTCCCAAGCCATTGCCTACCACGCCTCTTCTGACCGGGCCTTTCAAGGTGATGGTCATTCCCGGTTCTCCCTCCTCGGTGGTAACACCACTGCAGTGCTGAGACAAGGTCGGAGGACAGAAGTAGTCCACCACCTGCGACATGTACGTAACAGTATCATTGTTGAACGCGAACGAATCGAAAACGACGCTAATCAAGAAAGATTCTCCACCTTCTTTGGCAGCCCAAGACCAAGAGGGTGCTGGTATTCCCGAGGCCACACGAAGCTCCTGGTCAGAGGAAAAACACCATAACAAATCCAGGGGCCAGAACTCCTTCCAGGTCCCGGCTACGTACGTCCAACCGCGACTCTTCTCGATAGCGCTGGCGATGCCAGCAAGAGCCATCAGCCTGTCCGTTGTTTTCGTGAGACTAGCAAAGCTATAATTGGACACGATGCGATACCAGCATAGGTACAACCGGAGGATGCTAGGTTCCACGGTTTTCACCTTGTCGAGCGGCACCCAACCGAGCTCTCTTCCCCGAGACCTGGGCTTTATGTCGCCACCACTGTATTGGGGAACACACAGCTCTTGAAACCTGGCTTTCAAAGAAGCCCAGGATGAGTCTTTCCAAGCGAAATCCTTCATCCAGTGTTTGGAAGGATGTGACTCTCTGACCACGGAATGACAGCACTCCCAGAAAGCATCTTCGGCGCCAAAGTATACAACCCGTGGCGACAGCAGCCTTTCCTGCACACACCATCCTCGTGAAAGGAGCGGTGCTGCGCTCCGGTCTACGCGCCATTGCCTTGTCAGCAACTCGTCTTTCAATACGTAAGCAGAACCAGAACCCCCATTTCCGCCTGGTTCCTGGCAATGAGGCCTGAGACGACAAGGAAAATGATGTAACGGATTCCGAGACACGAAGCAGCCGTCAATACCGAAACCCCACAAGCGGCAATATTGCAGGAAGAGTGGCCGTAGACATCGCTCATGGTAAGTGCCTCTTTTTCCCAATCCTCAACTGAGTCTTGGATGATGCACAGCGAGTCAATCCAAATGTATTGAAAACCGAGCTCCCGGGTGATAATTAGTGCATCGTAAAACGTCTGGGATAAGTCTTGCAGTGGGATTGCCTGAAGAAATCTTTCCGTATTCGCGATGGTTAACATGATAGATTTGCCGGTTATCGCCCAAGAGTGGCTGAGGGTGAGATATCTAAATTCCACCGTGGACTCGGACGCACGAGGAAGAACCAGGCGTGGGGCAAGCTGTCCATCTGCTTCCTCCCCCACAAATATGAGACGGGTTGGAAGCTTCACGTGGCCTGATGAACCTTTGCCCTTGGTGAAGATATTCTGATTGCATCCGGGATGGTTCTGTAGACAGTCATCCATCCAGTGGCGTACAATGTTGAATGTCTGGGGTGACTTGGTTGATGAAGGAAGGAAGTCGGTTTCGGGTGGTCCGAATGGGAAGTACATGAAATCATTTTCTTGAGCATCGGGTAAGCACTCTGTCATTATTTAACACCCACAGCACAGAACCTGGTTGTTCGCGGAAGATCACAAACCTTTGATAGGTAAAATCTTTAGATCATCGATTGGCCTAGTCCAACGATGACGAGGTAGAGGCAACTGCTCATGCAAGATGCCATCCAAAAGCTCATAATTCTCAGCAGCCTCCTCTGGTATCCGCAACCAAGAGACATCCTCGATGGAGAGATACACATAGTAAAACCAGCCTTTATCACTGTCTCTCTTATACGAATCAGATCTCAAGTATGCTTGAATGACCCCCTGTTGCGGATCTTCGCGGTCCAGATTATTAGGGTCGATCTTCTGCGAGGTCGAGATAATGGAACACAAATGGCAACCAGCCGAGGCCGAGGAAAGGATATCGCGAACACTGCGGCTGTGAACGAACGTCTCAGTGGTGTTATTCATTCGCTTTTCTCTTTCGATCTGTTTATGGTTGCCGCTGAGTAGGAGTTGGATGAAGGTTGACTTGTTGGTGACGCGGGAGCAACGTGAGCAAAGGACATGGGCGGGGACAAGATCGGGCCTGTTGTTTTCAAGGGCTGGCTGCGACATTGTCGAAGACTTTGACTTCCACGAACTTTCCAATGAAAACAAGTCTTTGAAATTGTCCACAAGTCGTTATCGGGCTATGGGCAAGTCGTAGACCTGGTTGTTGCTGGCCGCTGCCCAGATGACGGGTGAATGAAGTTGGGTCAGACAACGACCACAATTGCTAACCAACTGGGTAAACGATGGCGGGTAAATCTTTGCTTGGAGATTATAAAAGAGGAAGTCGGACTCACAAATGTCCACAAAGAACCCGAGATATCAGTGTGTTAAGCATTGCTCGAGCAAGAAAGCCGTTGATACATTGGGCACGTATACATGTGGTTAAGTCGTCGGGCAGGCATTCCACCCACCCACCCCCAGCCGTGGTTTCATCCTGTTGCCTGCCGATTTTAACCGGCCGCCCTTCCGCTTTCTTAATCCAACGTCATCACAAAGACCACTCCGTCAACGAACGTACTACCTATCACTGTCACGGGCCTGTTGGTCGATATGGTAACAACTTATTGATGACGGCTTCTTTACCTTCGTTGGCTGAAGCGTTGCAAGTTATCAGCCCCGCGCGGGCTCGTATCCTTCCCTATGCGGATAAGCTCGGTAGCTGCCTGTGATAGTGAACCTCACATGCGTCATGCATAACACGGTGACCTGACCAGTCCGCTCTGAGAGATGACTCCCAAGTGGAAGTTCATCGGAAAGACGGCGAAGAGTGTGGACAGTTACCGTAGAAACTCGGTAAACTGGCAAAAAGCTAATGCCCCAAAAACCTCTTTTTGCCACATAGTGCTGGCAGATCTGTAGCGCTCAAGTCCGAGCCTGTGCTTTGAAACGCAGGCAAGATAGTGGTGGGCAGTGTTGTAAAGCTTTCACTAACTGAGCGGACATATGTACAGAAGTATGCTGCTTCCTGTGCTTACTGTCGGGCGCTCAAAGAGGGATAGCTTTTTGCCAGTTTACCGAGTTTCTACGGTACGCGTGAACTAATGATTCTGGTCATTGACAGCGAAGACTGCTTGTCCTTTCCCCTGTCGGCCAATCTTTCTCCCTTTGGCCTACATCTCTCTTTAACAGCCATCTGTCATCCGCCAAAACCCGCTCTGTCGAGACCTTCCTTCTTTGACGTCTTCTGCTTTATGCATGGCGAAATTCTTCAGAAAACAAACTGTATTACTCGATTTACATATTCCCGTATTAATTCCTACACTTCGTCATCCATCTCACGTCACCCTTCTTACCGGATCACCAGGGGAATTGATATCAACCACGCCACCACCACCAAGTTACCATTCTCATCAACCAACATGCCCCCCTTCACACCCGCCCTCCTCCCACCAGACCTCGCCTCCCTCACCTCCATCCCCAAATCCCTCTTAACAAGCGGCTACCGCCACCTGCTCGATGACGACCTCGCCCTACGCCCTCCTCCCTATCTAGACACCCTCATCTCCCCATCCTGCCACCAAGGCCTCGCTTGCATCCTCCCACTTTGACCCTTTCATCCCATTTCTACAGCCGCTAGGGGTTTATAGTACAGGTTACCAGCGATCTCTTCCGTGGTCCGTTGGCACATTCGGGAGTAATGCGAGAGAGCTCTTCGTGAGCTGTTACCAAGTAAACTGGAATGAGTTGCCGGTTCGAGTCCGGTGCGGGCCACTTCTCTTTTTTTCTTTTTTTTTTTTGCGGCACGCTGCCCCCACCAACCAAACCAGTACCACCCCCCCCGGCGGCACCCCCGGCCCCTTCCTCAGCCTCCTCCCCACCGAAATCCTCCTCCCCATTTTGAGTCAGCTCGACATCCGTACCTTCCTCCACTTCCGCCTGCTCAACCGGCACGCCCTCTCCCTCGTCGATCTCTGTCCCGGCTACTTCCCCATCAAACAGCACGCATCCAATGTGTTACGAGGGATCCTATCCAGGACTCGTAACAAATCAAACAAATTAAATCTCGGGTCGAATTTGGATTTGATTAGGGGTAAAATGTCCGGATTTGCTTGAAAAGTGGAAAAATTGGGCTTGGATTTGGAGACTCAAATCCAAGTCAAATCCAATAAGGGTTAGGGATATAGGAGGGAAAAGGACCAAAAGGTACCTAGGTACCTGGAAATTTCGAAGCCAGGCCCTAGGCCAGTCCCACTATTTTGTAGTTCGCTAGACAAAAACGGCATATTTCTACACCTATACGCCTTTACGCCGAATAATTACTACTGACTTGTACTTACTAAGTCAAATCTAGGCCTGGATTTGGGTTTACAAGTCAAATCTCTACCCTGGATTTGACCCCCTCTGGAGGTGGTTTTACTTGGATTTGGATTTGGGAGATTTGATTTGTTACGAGTCCTGATCCTATCCATTGAGGTCGGGAAGTACTGGACGCTGCCGAAGTTATGGGAGAAACTCTGTCAAAAGAGTTGCGACTCCCCTCCTGACGCGTGCGGGAGTTTCGCGGGGTATTTGTGTTTGTTGAAAGGGAAAAGGTGCTGTTGGAGTTGTTGGGGTAATAACCTCGAGAGTTTGCACGGGGAAGAGGAGAGGGGATATTTGGGAGGAGAGGGGTGGAGGGAGGGGTATCATGTATCATGGGTGGCCGTGGCCGATAACGGTGGAGTTTGCGAGCGAGTCCTTTCAGGTTCCCTCGCTGCGCAACTTGAGCGGCATGGAGGTGTTTGATGAAAGGGCGATGTTTGAAAGGGTGGAGCCGAGAATGAGGGCGCTGCCGAGGGCGGTGGTGTCTGAGGTTGTGAAAAGGGATTTGGGTTTGAGGAGAATGATAAGGGGGACGTGTAAGGAGGGGCCGGGCTCGGAGACGTGGCCGGGGATGGGATCCTTGGCCAAGGGGGAGAGGTTGGTGTTGGTGGATACGGAGACGGTGTTTGCGCTGGCGGTGTACTTGGGGTTCGAGCCGGAGAGGGAGATGAAGAGTTGTTCGCCGTTGACCTTCTACTGACTTGGGGCAGGCGTAGCAATTGACTCGGATGAGAGGTCTTCAGTTTCGTGATAATATTGGTGTCCAACCCTCGGTAGGGACTTGGGGATGGATCTGTCGGTGTCTCAAACCAAGATGAACACTTGCGAGTGTTGACGTCGGTTAGTTTTGGCTCTAGTCGTAAGCCACAACATGAACTCGGCTCAATTTAAACGAAACGAACGCAAAAAGGGGTGGGTAAACAACCACAGCAGGGTCGATAACAACGGTTTGTCAACACCACACTCTCGATTCCGTGTTTGCTAAGTCAAACATAGCAGTAACGATGTCATTAATTGGCCTCATGCCGAAGTGCAGAGAGAGCTCCATTCCAATGCAGGAGGAGTCAGTGTTCGTGCTTGAAGTGTCAGGCACCTGTATAAAATCCTCACAGGTTCGCGATGGAGGAAAGCTCGAGGGCCCAGCATTGTCACTTCCCTTCTTGCTGAGTTCCCATCTGTCGTCCTAGCTGCACCCAGCTCCAACACTTCACTCCCATCATCAACTCCCCAGTTTTCCAGTTCCTCGAGCACCCTCATAGACTCCAAACCTAGAGGTAAAAATGCACCTCTCAACCCTCCTCACGACTCTCACGACCCTCGGCCTAGCCACTCTCACCTCCGCCGCCGCCCTCGACACCACTACTTCTGCTTCCACAGGCTGCACCAACTCCGGGCTATCCAGCACCTGTTCCGCGTCCACCACCGCCACCGCCACGTCCGCATCCGACTCGAATGGCCCCGAAAGCATCGAAGAATACATCAAAGCAAAACAAGCCCAAATCGCCACGGAAAACAGCAACAACAACTCGACCATGGCATACAATATTACATCCGCCAGGCATGTCAAGGGAATGAATGCCTACGAAGTGCCCATGTGCTGTGTGAGCGGGTGCAGAGTTTGTTCGGCGATGATCTGTGGGAAGGGGCCTTCGGGGTGCAATGAGTGGCCTGTATGTGCATCTAACTATCCGTTCTTCCAGTTCTCACACGCTTCCCTCCCTCTTGTTTCTTTGATCCCTGCTTTTCCCCCCTTCCTTTGTTGTTTGTTTCACGGAATGAAATTCTTCAGGTTTAGATTCAGGGGGGCTAACAGAAGATGAAACTCTATCTAGTTCTACTCGTGCTGCTCGACGATCATCCTCTGGGATACGGAAAAGAATGTGATGCTGGATACATTTACTACAGAGGGGCAGACGGTTGAGTTTCAGTACGATTGAGGGGGACAATAATGTCTGGTGGATTGCTGGTGATGATAGTTGAGGGAGGTACCGGGGATGAAAAGGAGTTGTCATACCAGAGTCCAGAAGCCATTCCGTTTTACAAGACCTATGCAAAAGATGCTATTGATCAATCCAGAATTACCCATCTCATGCGACGTCCAGAAGAGAAATTCTAGGCGCACCGCTCTGTGCCCCATGTGCATTCTCCCACATGCACCCAAAATTTTCAAGCCATCTGGCAAACAATTGATGATAATATCCCAAAAAGACCCGAGATCCGATTTAAGACCAGTATATTTGTCTTCTACCTCTCAAACTTCTAATAGGCCTATTCATTCCTGACGAATAATTGCTAGTGCCGTGTTGTGATTCCAACTAATTCCATTCGCAGCGCCCTCCCTTTGCAATGTACAAAAGCTACCTCTAGGCAAATGAACGTATCTTGGATTTATTGAGACGTATAGAAACCTTAAGGCCTGAGCAATAATTGTATTCCAACATAACCTTCGACAAAAGAACACCGCCTAATGTGGAAGTACTATCGAGTGTCTAAATGGTGGAATCAAGGCAACAAGTCATTGTGAAAGAGGGAGAAAAAAAAGAGGAAAATCGAGTGCAAAGTACCTAGCCAGAAGGTACGATGTGAAGAGCGTTGATTGAAAGGTGAGCAGGCTGTGAAGCAGAAAAATCGTGGTGCAAGCAACTTTTCCGTCCACGCTCAAGTACTCCTTCTCCAACCCTCTCGCCCTTCTACAAACCGCTCTCTCTTTCACTCTCCCACTCCAAAACCCAAAGTCAGTTACCACCAGCCATCTCCATCATCCACCACCATTTCCATCCACAAACATGTAACCGTCCACAACACTGCTCCTCTCCGTTTTTTCCCCATCGTCTTCTTATCATCGATCCCGTCACCTCCCGATGAGGGTAGCACCTTGGGTGAGATATGATGCTCGATGGAATAGACGGGTCGGAGTGTGTCAGGATAGCGCCTTATGTCTGGGTGTCGGCTTGTGTACCTAGCGGGGTGAAGGATAGCCGCCGGTGATGGTCGACTACCTAGAGAGGCGTGGACAGAAAGAAAAAAAAGTAGGTTGGAGGAGGTTGCGGTCCTAGTAGAGCCTGTGTAGTTGTGGTAGTATACGTCAAACTTCTTTTGAGGGAGGCTCGAGCAATTTGCGCAGTAGCGCGACTTGACGGTCATGATATACTGAATATATCGCCTAGACTACTGCATGGCACAAAACAGCTCTGGGTTTGTTTCCTAACCACGAATAGAACTGGCTGAAGAAGGTCTTTTGTGTGGACGTTTTGGCGTCACGTCCCAAACAACACTCTCTGTGGAGTTCTCATAACTTGTTTCGAGCTAATCGAAATGCATATCGCGGATATGTGTCGGCCTTTCTTAGAGTCACGAAGGGGCCTGATCTGGGTCAAGCAACCTGTATCCGACTGTTCATATCGTATAGTAGGACCGAGTCGAAGAATTCCAGCCTTGACCGCATGCCACTCGCGGGTTTCTCGAGGGTGTATAGCTACCTCTGCGGTTGGGGGGCAAGTCCGCGGCGGTGCCATCCTGCCGGAGTGGCACGTCCGGGAGGTGTAACTTCTGGCGGTGATGTAGCCGGAGACGGGGCTGCGGCGAGATTGACTCTGAGGCGATCCAAAAAATGTATAGAACTGATACGCTCTAAAGTATGGGCAAGTGAATATGACTGCGCTCCGGACTGCGCTTCCGACGTAGCAGTAGTAGTCATGGTCAGTTGGTTGTGTTGAGAGCAGTCGTGAAGCAAAAAGTTGTGGTTTGTCAGCAAGAGCAAATACCCGATTGCAGCAATACATTAGCACGAGCACGAGAAGCTCCCGTCAAGTCGGCAAAGGTAGACACCGAAGCATCTTCTTCATGACTGGGAGTGGACCGGTGTTCACGCGAGCAATGGCGACTCTCCTCCCACGTCCAAGAATAGAGGACTGGGCGTGGGGGTGTCTGAGGGTGGGTGATCAAACGTTGAGCAGGTTCAAGGGGTTCTTCCTGCCGATGATCGATGATCCCGTTTGTTGCGTCTTCCGGTAGGGTGGGCGAGAATTTAGGGACCGATACTGGGAGATGCAAAGGGATCCGTTGTGGAATCCTAAACGGTTCGGTCTTCAAACTCAAACGAGATGTCGTTGTTGTCTTTGACACGGGTGTCAACTTGACTATTAGGCCGGTCGTCGACCACTCCGGCCCCGTTGCTTGCTTTGTTTTTCGTGGTAGGAAGACTACTTCTGATCATCCTTGAGCAAAGAACGTAGGAAATCGTGCACCTTTATTACCCCTACCACTCCCTCTCCAGCCAACATCCAGCTGGGAGGAAGGGCGGGGTTGACGTCTTTCTTTGGTACCAGCTCAGTTTGGACGCATGCCACGCCGTGTGTCACAGGGAGCGTATAGGTACGGACGATGTGCCTTGTGGCCGAGACAGCCAAAACAAGTCCGCGGATGTACAATCTGATGCCAAATCCCAGCATGTTGCCAACTTCAGACTCCAGGTAAGTCCGCTGGATCTCTGCATCCAAAAGTACCAACATATGCCGGTGTGGAAGGTCACGTTTCTGGAACTCTAGGGTCCAAACAATGCCGGTACAGTTGCCGAGAAGTTCTCCCTTGCTCAGCGCGTTTGCCTTCATATAGGTCATACAGCCCATCATACCGTCGGTAAATGGGTTTGAGGAAGGTGCGTTTACACCAAGTTCCACCTGGATAACGGGGGGCTTGTAGTCCTCCGATGATTGAAGGACCGGGGGAGGTCGGGCTGGGGATGAATGTTTCCCGAAGACATTTTCACCGCCAGAGAAGAATTTCAAAACTGAATTGGATGAACATCTCTCTCTTGAGAAAACTCGTTGCAAAGACGACGTTGTGCTCTGTACTGACGGATCTGGTCTTGTCCAGAGAGTCGGGCGCAGATACATCTGCCCCGGCGGCCACTGCCATCTCAATGACTCGAAGTTGACCCGTGACGACCCCCCAAGTAACAGGACCTCGCTTGGTCTTCGCAGGGACATTGTCCTTGTAGACAATGGGGTTCGTGATGCTGTATGCGCCCTTGCAAGTTTGCCCAAAGCGGTTGGCGTCGCTGGTGCCGAGGTACTGAACGATGTGGTTGACTGTCTCAACAGGCAGTAGATTCATGAATGACGCCATGGTGAGCTCGATGTGAACCGGTAACGACTCAAATTTCTGGCGGACAAGGCTGGAAGGCGTCGGGAATCAAGCGGTGTTCATTTCTGCCCTGGAGCGGCGCTCTGTGTGCCAGAGGCGGATTTCGTGTGGGTGCTTCCAGTTCGGAAGCGATTCTTTTGATGAAGCGATAGTGACTCCGGGTCGTGCCTGGAGAAGTGTGTCAGATGGCATGAAAAAGACCGGGCAAAATTATGGGCACCTACGTGAACACTCTAGTTTCTAGACGTCTCCAAATACCCCATCCCAGACGCGCTCGAGGACGCGCCGGTGTAAGGCAGAAGGGAAGGAGTCATCTGCACGGCCGCCATTGTTGATGTGATGTTGCAGAAGTAGAGGTAGCAAGCGTGAGCGTGAGTTTGTGATTGCGAAAGCGTTCTTGAATGCAAGCGTGATGGAAATACCCTGGAACGCGTTGGTCTTGGGGTTGACAGTAGAGTGCGATTCCTCGAGTTGGATGATACCATGATGTGCTTCCATGTAGTGAGGGCGGGTCGGTTCAATTGTTTCTGACGGAATAACTGTGTTAGTCTACCTGTAGCAGTTACGAGCGGAGCTGGGAAATGATAACTTGCACCTACAGGGTATGGTGAAAGGCGGTTTTGTCAGGGTGGCCCCCCCCCGGAATAACTGCCAAAAGATCGCAAGCGCTATCAGTATGACGATACCCAAAATTGTAGCACGCCTTAAGGCGTCCTCGACGAATCCGAACACCGCCATGATCGTGACGACAACCGCGGCTGTAGCGTTGCTGGATGGTTGCTTGGTGCTGCTCTTCGGGTGATTGTTGAATGTGACTTCCTCTTCAGGAGTGGTCGTGGTAGGGACAACCGTGGTAGTGGTGACCGTCTTGATAAACGAGGAATTCGGAGTGGTGGTTGTGGTAATTGTGGTGATGGGTGTGGTTGTGGTCTAGGCTCTGGAGATGAGGGTGGAGACAGGTCGAAGTTGATGGAAACATCGAATATATAAATGGGCGGATGGGTTCCATCATGTTGATACTTTGATGGTAATGGTGGTTGGTGGTTGGGTGGAAGATGAGAAGAAGATGAAGAAGATGATGATGAGGAAGAAGAAAACAAAAGCAATCTCGGGGGTTGGCGGACCTTTAAGTACCCCTCCAAAGTAGTCCTCCTAGTGAGCCTTCCCAAGATCGTAGCACCTCAGGTACCTGTATGTTCTTTCACTCCTGACTTTGTCTCATTGACACCTTCCAACTGATTAGTGACAGGCATTCTGTCAACCCCAGCATCCCCAATCCACTCTTGTTCAGGTATTTCCAGTTCGACAGAAGAGACAGAAGGCGTGTTGTAGTTTCATTCTCGATAACCCTTCCAACCCAAGCGACCGGACCACTGGTGTATGGGACTGTTGAGTCCATGGCCGCTTCATCTGCACAATTCCTCGCCGACATGTGAAAGAGCAGAACAAGTGTTAGTATTCCCTTCCCTACCCCAACCAGCAGCTAACTAATGAATGACAACTTAAAAAGCAGTTGCAAAACGAGTGACCTTATCCCTTCCATCATTCCTCCGATAGAAGTCTGTAGTGCCAGCACTACCCAATGTTCATTCCCAGTAAGACATGACATCCACCGTCAGTCTCTCCTTCAACACGAACAAAAGAAAATAGGAAAGAAAAACCACGCGCGGAATTCCAACTTTTGCTAGGGAAGGGGTGTTGGTGTAGGCTTGGAACAGAGCGATCCGGCGAGTGACTCCTTCCTCGGTGCCCAGCACAAGACCGGGAGTCACTGTTCTCGCCCGACCTGGCACATCATACCTGTAGGTAAAATCAGGTTCAAGACACGGTACTGATGAACAATGTATTCATGATCCCAGTACCGGATGGCGCCTACCTTCAGGTACCTACTCCTCCATATCTACTGCGGTGGAAGTTCCTGATAGGCAATGGTGAAGTCAACCTGATGGACATGATCCGCCAACATCTCTTTGAACATCGGTTTGATCTCTGTGATAATATCGAGCGGCTTGATGTCAGGTTCGGAATCCCATTCGATCTCAACCCCCCAGGAGTGTATCAAGTCTCTGTACTATGACCGAGTTGTTAGCTAGCTGTCTTATATGAGATGCCACAAAGTCCAAAACTAAGTAGCGAAATGGAGCGTTTTTTGCCTGGTCCCTCAAAAGGACTTGAGGAATATTCTACTCACAGTGATCCCATATCCAAATATGGTTGGTCCAGGTCTCATTCTGGTAAAGAAGGCTTGGATCCGTTTGAGTTGGTCTGCAGGCGATTCCTGATCGTTGATCGAACGCTTGTAAAATAGATAAAACGCCTTTGGCCACCCCCTATCCGCCGTGGGCTTCAGCTGTTCTTGAAGCATGCGGGCTCTCCGGCGTTTCAATCTCCCTTCATCAGTTCTGCTGGCTTCCACTGAAGGTTGGAACGGAGGGTTATCTATGTAGTACTGCAAGAGATCCCCAAAGGATATCGTCAAAAGCTCTGTCTCCGACTCGTCGATCCCTTGATTTGCCATGTTGACTGCACTGTAAGGTAAATGTTGGTGCCTAGTGTTGCTTTAAATTTGTGAAAAGATTTGGATGAAACGTGCAGTGGTTCGCTGACTGACTGACCAACTGATCGATAAGGCCCAGCAGATGACCTCCCCTTAAGTATCCATCCAGGCCATAACTCTCGTCGCAATTATCTCCCTCTTGTTCCCTTGTGGGTTTTGCGTCAGCCTCCCCTAGGGTGATGTCGTGACAAAGGAAACCAGTTGGAGACGGACGACTGGCAACACGGAACTGGAGAGCACTGCCACCAACTGGAGTTGGGGTCACTGCCAACCCTCCAAAGACTTTGAAACCCACATCACATTGAGATATGACTGTTGGTTGTCGAATGCAGCGGATGGTGAAAGTTGAATGAAGTCACCCTTGAAGGGTATGTAGCCGGTAGAAGCAACAAAAACTAGGAAATCAGAAGGGGGTGATGAACACCCGCAACACCCACATCCAACGCACGGAGGTTTGTATCCACCGACTTCGACATGTGCTTTCGTCTGTCCATATATAGATGACGCCGGGCAAAATTTATGGATAGATATCGCAGTGATTCGAAAAGTTACTAAAGCCATCCATCGAGAGAGGATATGGGCTATTTCTGTCCCCATAGCACACATCGTTAGAAGAAATTGACTGGTGTGCCTACCCATATGCCAGTATCGTCGCCAGAGTTCCTCGACTTCAATCTGCCTCCCACTTGAGGCTTGTTCTTTTGCCAGCCTCGGGTCTGAGAGCAAACAATCTACGTCCAACTAGCCGTCACTTCAGCCCCGAGCCGCCATTTCCACCAACGAGCCGGTCGGAGGTCCAAGCAAACACCAACGTTTGACGCATAGTGGTTAGATATGGAATCACCTGCCGCACAGCGCACGAACCATTGCACGATTGCCTTCTCCGTGATGCTCGCGGGCAGTATACATTGCACCTTATGGTGAGGTGTAGTCAACCCGTGTTAGCCACCGGAATCGTGCCAGAGGACGACCAACGGAAGGTGAAAGACTAAATAGGGCAGTTTCGGCGATCGCGTCATCAACGGCACCGGAGGTGGTGTGGTCAGAGGAACGCTTTGTTCATATATGAACAAGCAGCAAATGAGTTCGAAGCATGACGTATTAGCTAAGTGAAAAAGCGATGAAGTATGCCGAGCAGAAGCCGGATCGAACATGCGTCTTAAGTTTTTAAAAATTTGCATATTTTAAACGGAGAAGACTAAACTCACTGGTAATGAAAATGTAGAAGTCTGGCTGATTGAGGCGCTGCCAGAGACGTCCCGAGGGAGTGTCGCTCCCAAGTTCATTTTCTTCGAAACCTCATGTTGGTGACGAGGTGTGTGTGCCAAACATTGTGATAGGTCGAGTTGAGGTGGTAAATATACTAAAGGAATATCTTGTAGGGGTTTGAGCGGCTCCGCAATATCTTGTAGAGCTGACCCATTTTACACAGTTTGCGGGCGGTGGAGATGAGGTCCACTACAGTTTAGTGATCTTGGCGGGCCCCACCTCCCCGCATCAGACATGGGCCCAGATGGACGTCAATGTTCGATAACGAATTTGGATTTTGCCTCTGCCACTAACCACCCACCAACCGAAAATTCACTTGTTCCCATCGACTCTCGACAACGCTTCGACCGCCAGCGACTCACCATACACCTACGTTACTCCGAGTCGTCCACGAAGCCCAACATGTCCAAGTCCAAGAAGACGGCGGCCAAGCGCAAGCAGAATGTCGAATCGACCGAGGCGTCGGCCAAGCGAGTAAAGACGGCCGCCGGCGCCCTGCCCTCCCCTCCAGCCGAATCCGGACCCGAGGTCGACCGATTCGAACCCAAGAGCATCACGACAGTAGTTTCGGAGGAGGAATTGGAAGTCACAGTCGACACCCTTCGCACATTGGCCGAGAATCCTGCCATAATCAAGTCCAAGGCGTGCAAGGAACTGCGCTCTGTCGTCTATGACTTCAGACAGGCCTGCACCACGGGCATCAACTCCAGTTCCGACGCCAACCTTACCGCAAAGGTCTCGGGCTTCCTGGCCGACGGCAAGTTTGTCGATGCCCTTGTTACACTGGCCGAGATGCGCATTCGTGGCGACATCCCCAGGCTAGGCGCCTTGTGCCGCTGGGTCAGAGACCTTGACATCACTAGCGGCCTGTCGCAGACCGAAACTACCAACAGACAAAGTCGACCCGAGCTTCTCAAGATCATGGACGCCATTCTGAGAGCCACCGGACAGCCGATTGATGCTTCTGGACTTGGGGACTCGTCATCAACAACATGGACAGGGCCCATTGCGCTTCAGAACATGTGGGATATTCGAGAGCCATCAACAACCCCATTTCCCATGCGGCAATCTGTTCTAGACGGCACATTATTCTCGGTATGCCCACCGAATGTCAAAGACCTGTTTAACGCCATCGAGACCACTCCCGGTCCTCAACGAAAGCCACCCAACCTCCACCCGGCTGTCCTTCACCTCAGCAACGAAGGTGCCGTCCCGCTATCTCCCACTTCCCCGACCATCACCAAGCACCAACACCCCATCGTTCCCTCCCTATCTATCCTAAAGGACGTACTCTCGCCTGCCGAGTGCAAGTCCATCATCGCTGCCACCGAGTCTGTCGGCTACCTCCCCGACGCACCCATCAAGGAAGACGGTTCCGAGTCCAGCATCCTCGCCCACAACGTCTACTGGATCGTCGATCAAACCTTCCACGACGCCCTCTGGGAGCGGGTCCGCCCTTTCATGCCCACTCACGATGCGGGCAGGAAGGCGCGGGGTATCAACCGTCGCTTCAGGGTCTACCGCTACGTCCCCGGAGCCGAGTATCGCTGCCACTTTGACGGCGCCTGGCCTCCCTCTGGCATTCACCCTACGACGGGCAAGTACATGTACGATGCCTCGCCGGCGGACAAGAAGCAGTCGAGCCTGTTCACCTTCCTCATGTACTTGAATGACGAGTTCGAGGGCGGCGAGACGACCTTCTTTACTCCGAGCGTACGTGACGGTGTCATGAATGCTCATCCGGTGAGGCCGGTTATGGGCTCGGTGGCGGTGTTCCCCCATGGCGAGAACCATGGTGCGCTGTTGCATGAGGGCACTGGTGTTAGGAAGGGCGCCAAGTATATCATTAGGACGGATGTGGAATTCGATGTCGATGCTGGACGGGAGGACTAATGTGTTTGACATGACCTTGCTATGGGCTATGTATTTATCCGAAGGTTCAATATACCGTCTACCGTTACCATACGCTATCAACCGACTACAGCTTAAAGTCCCTTTGGCCCACGTCTTAAAGGAATCGAGATGCTTCGCTAGACACTATAACTTGGTCTATACATCAGAAAACTCATGTAACCAACCCTTCGCTTTCTCGCTCCTCCTCGACCTCAGGGATTCTGCTCACATCGGACGACAGTCAGTCAGTCTTTAGACCAGAGTTAAACTCTGGAGGCCACTCCGCAAGCTGTGAAGGCCACTCATGCTCCGCACGACACTCAGTCTCTCCGATGTCCGATTCCGTAGGAGTCAACACCACTTCATCGTCACTAGAGGTATCATCGTCATCGTCAGCGTTATTGCCACCCTCCCGCGTCTCCTCTTCCATACTCCAATAGGCACTGTCGTAGTCCTTGTCACTTCGTACCTCCTTTGCCATTTCATCCTGCACGCTTGTCACGCTTGTTTCCACGCTGTCTTCCACGTCGTCTTCCTCGTCGTCTTCCACGTCGTCTTCCACGTCGTCTTCCACGTCGTCTTCCACGGCATTTGTCGAATCATCTCTCCCGCCATTCTCCACAGACTCCTCATTTCCAATCCCATTTTGATGGCCTCCGTCATAGCACTCCTTTTTACTCCCCCTCTGCTTATCATACCATCGTTGCTCGACAATTTGTTGATGGTAGGCATAGTTGAAAGCCCAGATATCAGCGTTTACTGTCCGCGAAACGGCGCGACGAAACGTCAGCATGTATCCCCAACTGACCCACGTCGCACGGGGCACCCCACCCCATCTCAGCATGTTTGTGACTCACCTTTCCTAACCTCCTCATAAACCTCCTCCGTCCTCCTCCTCAACTCCTCCGTCTCCATATCCTCCGGCTCACCCCCCAACCTCCCAAACGGATCCCTCGTCCAAGTCTGCGTCATAGCCGCGGCCAAGTACCACAACGCCCACGGCTCATCGAACCCCGGTTCTGCCGCGAAAATCGGTGGTCCGCAAATATTTCGCAGGGTCTCCATGATGACGAGCAAGTTGTTGACGCCCTTCATCGGCCAGTCGTCGAGGAGGATGGGGGTATACGCTGGGTGCGGGTAGAGGAAGTACTCCCGTGATGCGATTAGGAGGGGGGTGTTGAGACGGAGGCGCCGGATGAGGTCGAAGGATAGGTGGAGGTTGGCCATGCGGAGGGCGAAGTTGTGGCGCGAGATGGGGTCGGGGAGGAGGGAGGTGGGGAGGTGGTAGATGTGGAATTCCATTTTTGGTAGGTTGATGGTGGGCTTTGCTGGCGGTGGGTATGATGAAAGTAAAAATACAATCGTTATGTGCGCTGATGTCTGAAAGGCGTTACGGGATGGATAAGAAACGATGCGACAACATTGAAGAGTGAGGATAGCAAATATCATCAAGCTCGCAATGTGCAGTCCACGTTTTCTTGTCTTTCACTTCTCACGGTTTCCTCTGTCAAGCGCAACCCTCCGGAGCGGAACCAAAATCAGCTTGAAGGGAAAGCGAGTATCAGGGAGGAGGAACAGGCAAGAGCTAGGGAATTCCCTCTCACGATGGAAATACGCAACCACAGGAAGATGTGTGGTAAGTAAACAAACCCCTGGTTACACTCGCGAGACTTGTCGATGAAGTTGCAAATCTGTCGCTATCTCTACCTATGCTCGACATTCTTTGATGCAATTCTTCGATTGAGCTGTCGAAGCAGCAACTTGTTATACCGAATACAGATCTGATCGCACGATCCCAGGTGTCTGTCGCTTATCTCGTTCCCCGGACTACAGTGATATTGGCACGTTCTTACCTAGTAGGTACCTACCGCACTTATCATCTCTACGTACCTTCCATCATTCAGAACTCCCCTTTCAAATCGCAGCTTCCCGCGCCAATGAATCCCACATGAAGCTTGGTGCCTCGAGATTGTCAGCCCATCTCACCACTGCAGTCAAGTACCAGCAAATCCTTGGAGTGCTTCAAACTCTCGCTTTTACCAGCTTCTCAAACGATAAGTACCTCGTTACATCGAACACCGCAGACGCAAAGACATATCTTCACTATGTCGGATCGATGAGCAACACGTATCCAGGCTTTGCTCTGAATCGAACACGACTGTATTAACATATAGCGTCCCCGACAGTCGAGTGAGCGACGCCTCAGGTTCGCTCATTTACCCCCGGATTTCCAATCCATACCTTAACTTTCGCTCCTAGATAATATCCAATCCCACGTGCGGTTCCGCTCAATTTGAAGTCAACCAGAACCACGGATTCGCAAATTACCCAAGACGAACGAAAGCAACGTTGCCACGGGCAGACAATCTAGGACAAGAAGATCATAGTGTACAAGGTGAGTGAGTGACATGAGTGCCGTGTGTCCAGTTGCTGCGGTACCGGTCTTCGGCAAAGTAACACGGCTTGAGCATCGCGGGGATGCAAAGTTTCTGACACTAGAAGGAGGAGGAAACGATCATCAGCTTGGCAGTTTGTTTACTGTACTGTGTATTTTCTGAGCTTGCTTGCCCTGAATATCACCGTCCAGATGACGAAAGAAGATCGAGATGATCACACATTTGATAGCAGTTAAGATCGCCGTACATATGCTCCGTTTATACCCCATAGTGGTAGTAGTACTCTATACAGTGCTGTCTATCATCGCTCCCTCATATAACCATACTGTGGTAGGTAGTCCAGTTTAGCTTCCACATTCCAGTGCAAGTCAGTCCTCTCCGCATTCCCGTCCCGTCTTTACATTCCAACCACATTCCACAATTCCATTCCGCATTCCATTCCACTTTGCTCTTTTGCACATCGGGCGGGACTCATGCAGCACTGACACCTGCATGCAGGTCCGCACATCCACCCGCCCACATTTGAACCGCAGAAACCGGTACATAAGCCCGTTGGTCATGCAGGGCCGTTAAACCTAAACCTGCATAATGATTGCATCCTGCAGTTCACTGCATTGCGCTTGCGGGTACCTGGCAGCTGGCACGGCATAGCGGCATTCCACTGGACTGCAATGTTGCAATTGGAAAACGTTTTGCTTGGAAGCCTCCATGGAGGTGTTCGTTCCATTCACTGCAGTTTCCTTCGGCGGAAGTCGACACCGTCCCAACTGGAACGGAAGTGCATGAACCATCCATGCGAACTGTTCGAACCATACGTCGACAAGGCCCGGCGGGGACCACGGAACGGTTGGGACATGGCCACGGAGATCTCGTAAGGCTTAATCATCATCTTTCTTCTGCCGTTCCGTTTTTACTAAAGGCCATGTGGAAGTTAGGTAGGTAGGTATGGGACTGGGAGATGGGATGCAACGCTGCTTCTTTAACCGGTAGGTAGCTTTACCGGTGTACCGGTCGGTGTACCGGTCAACCACGCAGCAGCCTTAACCCATGAATTCAAGGCCCCAAGGCCCGCAAGACCCCAAGGTCTCATGGACTTGTTGACACGGCACTGCACCGTACGTCGAGACGCGCGTCAAGAATTTGAAGTGATATGTAAAACGGAGGATCATCGCCATGGCATGGCAGAGTTACATACAGCTTCACCCCTAGCAATACGACCGACCGTTCGCTGACCCAGGTGCCAGCGAGCGACCAAGTGACCGGTGACCGGTGACAGGGGAACGAACGGCCATCAATTCCATTCCTTCTTCGGTCCTTCCATAGGCATTCCAGAAGGATACACACGCAGAAAGGATTCCTGCAGCCGTAACGGCAGCGTGTTTGATGTTTGATGTGCTGCTCTATGATAAGCTCCACAGTGACGCCGAGGGATCGGTGCTGCCCTGCCCAGACTTGCTAGGTTAGCGTAGGCCTGTTAACCCCTGATTAGCGCAGCCTGCATAGGCACTGACGGGAATGCCATGTTTCCAAACTTGGAGACAGACAGGACCGTTTCGTTCGTTAGCCTTGTCGCGTCGCCCTGTCGCATCGCCCTATTGCTGATGGAGTCCGCGGGTCCGTAGTGTAGTGTATGTAGAGTCCGTGGGTCCGTATCGAAAAGGCTGTTGTATTCCTGGATAATATGTGTGTCATTTTGCCAGCGTTGTATCCAGGAGATTGGGAAAATGGTTTGTGGTGTTTGGGTTATTAAACGGTCCCCAGTTTTTCTTCTCTTCCTTCTGTTTTTGGATTTGAGACTGAGGGAAGCGTTTTGACCTCTTCTTCTTCTGAGTGGGGGAAATGAAACGACCAAACTTTTTTACTTTTAGTTCCGTTGTCTCAAATGACGAGTCGCCTACCTACTGGCCCCGTTGCAACCCGCGGAATTGATACCGTCGTTTCTTCCATGATTTCCATCTTGGTTTTCTCAAAAGTGATAACCGAACACAGCAAACTGTCGGGATCCGTTCCCCGGTTGGTGTGTTTCTCGCTGTTCCTTCCTTGCTTTTTCTATGAGCGACCTTGACTTGACCATGAACACTCACTTAACACCGTTCGGCCAAGACAGGTAGGTGAGGTGTTCGCTCGTTCGAAACATCGGGCCATCCGGGTAGGAATTTAGCGATGCCCCCATCTCTGCCCCCATCTCTGCCCCCATCTCTGCCCCATCGGGCAGTGCTAGTCGGTACCTGCAGTAGCGTCGCTAGGCGTGCAACTCCACAGGCCACGAGGACGTCCCAGCTGTCAGATTTACTGGTTTTATTGAATGAATCTGTGTAATTGACTCGAGCGCTCTCTCTGCAGAAGGTCTAGGGGTCTGGGGGTATCCTATATTTGCTAAGACCTGTTAAATCAGGTAGCTGGGACTCTAGTATCTTATCACGGGGCAAGGCGACGGTTAGGGGGTAAGTTGGATATGCGTAGTTATACGAGGAGAGAAGGAGAAAGGTGTGCGCAAGTCTAGCGATATAGGGCAGGGCACGAAGGCCATACCCAGAGCCGGGACTAGAGCACGTATATATGCACGTAACGTGCCATTGGCCAATGGCAGTAATAGTACGGTACGAGGCTCGATTGCCTATAGCGGGAGCCGTGTATAAACAAGGTAGTTATAAGTAATCTTGTAATATTACCTCCTTGTAAAAGAAGTTTTAGAGCTTTAAAATCTATATATATATGAAATAATAGATTATCCTTTAATTCCCATCTTCAAATTCCTCTATCCATAATTAAAACGTTTGCTCGAACTCCTCCGCTCGCAGCTCCCGGATTTTCCTTATATCCTTAATTTTACCCGGTTTTTAATTATCGTTTCCTTATTAATATGTTTCCGTTTTTAATTTATTTATTATGTTCTCCGTAGGTAGCCTCCTTCCTTAATATATTTCTAATAATTTCCTAAATATTAACTTAAAAACGTCGTTTATTTTTTCTATATTATCCGCCAATAATTCTTCTATAAGTTAATTGGGATTCTTTTTTATTAGCGGGCTAGTTAGCGGGTTAGGCCTCGTTATAATTCCTTCTACGAGCAAATTAATTAATTTTTTTAGGTCTACGATACGTTTAGAGCGTTTTGGTACTGCGGGTATAGTAAGTTATAGGGTTAGGGCTGGCGATTGGGGTATTAGAGCGACGGCGGCGGGACGGGGTATTAGGGTAGTAATAATTAGGCGGGGTATTGAAGCGGTAGTAATTAGGCGGGGTATTAGAGCTTTCTTTTATAATATAATTTTAATTTTTAATTATTATTAAATTTTAAATAGGATCGGTACTTTAGGGTAATTATTATAGAAAGTTTTAATTGCTTTCTTTATATTAATTACGTTAGTTAGCGGTTCCTTAATTAAATTGTAATAAATTTATAGAATTATATAGAATTAGTAGTAATTATCACCCTTTTATCTATAGGATAATAGCTAATTTAGTTTTTATTTTATAATTTCCTTATAATTATTAATTTATATTATTACTTTATTTCTATTAGCTTTTATATTTCTTTAGATATTAATTTAGTTAGGTATTGTTTTTAAAAAAAGTTTAATTATCAATATATAAAATATTAGCGAATATGTTATATTAATGGGTAGTACTAATTTAATATTATATAATTTCATTTAATTAATTTCAAAAGGGCTTTTCTACCTAGGGTAGAATTTATTATAAAGGCGGCCGTTAGCGAGGTTAATTATATTTGATATAATTAAATCTTGAATTTAATATTTGGGTATATCCGAATGTTTTTATTAGTATTAAATTCGTAGCGGTTTTATATTTTTTTAATCGAAGTTCGAATATAATTTTAAATAGTTTCGAAGTGGGCTAATAATTCGTTAGTTTTCAAATATTTTTTCTATTAAATTAAGG